GCATCTGGTAGGATTTAGGTATTCTTACCAACATCTGGTGACCTCCTCAGACAGGTTCCCAAAGCAAGACCCCTTCCCACCCCACTCCTGCCATGGCTCATTCAGGTTCTGTTTAGCTCTCTGGCTGTCAAAGAGAACTTAATCTTTTTTCCAGCTGGAGAAGTTTAAGGCTAATATTTTTCAAAATCAGGCATTTAAAATAAGGCAACTATTATTTAGCAGCTAATGACTGCTAGCGTGAGTTCTGCAGTGAGCCCCCAACAAAGACTTGGTTGGTGTGCATCAGGGCACTTCCACAATCCAGCACTGTTAGCACAGGCTGGTTTACCCAGCTGGTGTAATTATATAATTACACTTTCACTTCACTGAATAACAGTGCTGCATCACCAGGGATCACACTTGATCATCAGATGTTTGTCATCATAAAATAGATACATACACATGGACTTCAAAAATATGATTTTATCAGAAATCAAAGCACTATACAAGAATTGCTATCCTTAGTTAGACCAGAAGTCCACTTAACTGTGCATTTTCTCTCCAACAATGGGCACCTGGGGATGTGTAGGCAGAGCACAAAAATCATGTCACTTATTGAACAACCCTTCCTCAAAATACCCTCCAGGAGTAGTCTTTAGCTCATGCCTGTTTCCCCTACTGCTCTTCTCTCTACCTCTTCCAGCCCTACTGCGTCATTTTTGAGATGAGGTCAGCAAGTTGCAAACAGGATTCACCACAGTTTTAAAGAATGGCCCATTTATATTTTCTATTATTTCATCCATTCCTCTGCCATTAGTTTTGGTTTGGACAGCACCCAGCAGGCATGCTGGTGTTCCATGGAGCTCAGAACCATGCACAGACCTTTCTCTGACTGCCACATGCACTTGTCTGCATTTAATGTTATTTGTTCTATATATGTGCATTTATTCTGCAAATATCAGCTTTGAACATCCTTTGAGCTCATCTAGCTTTTAAATGTTACTTGTGTGATCATCCTGCTGCAACTCTTTGGAGGGGGTTTTAGAGGCATTACCCTTTATAAATCTATGTTCTTCACAGTTTCAGTCAACTAACTGATCACATTTCTTCTGAGAATTTTTATAAAAATGTTGAGCATCAAAGATCCCAAAACAGCCTTTGGGGCACCCCACTCTCTCTTCACTGTAAATTTAACCACTTGTTCCTCTCAGTTCTTTAAGCAGGTGCTAACCACGGAGGCAACCTCTTCCTTTTTGTAATTAGAATTTGTTAAACTTGGCCTAGGCAACTTCTCAACAGCTTTTTGCAGACTGAGGTAGTAAGTATTGGAAATTGTACCTTCCTCTAACACAATCCATCTTAACTCTTCCTGAACTAGAAATTTAAAGGAAATTTTTTTTTCAAATTAGCAAAGCCATGAGAGGAAAAAAAGAATCAGTGCTGCAAACAATTTCAATTTATGGATTTCCCTCACCTCCCTGAGGCTCTGTCTGCCAAAGAAAGGAATGGAAGGTCTCAGGAATGTGTTCTTATAGAGACCTGATGGGTACCAATGTCCCAAAAGACACCCAATGTGTGTTTGGATGAGGGTTGCTTTGCACTGCGCAGTCAATCTTGCCTGGACCCTCAGGCCATACTGCCCACAGTATTGGCAAAGTGTCAGGTATTGTCCCCAGGCACACCCTTCAGTTCAGTGATATCCAAAGGGATTCAGTTTTCAGGTTCCCAGACTGTTACAAGACAAAAAGCAAAGCACAATTTAGCTTTTGAACATCTTTCAGTCCTTCCTGCTTAATCCTGATCCCAACAAAAACTCTAATGAAGAAGCACTTTGTGTAAAAAGCATAAGATCAAAAGATTTTCCTTCTATTATACTAATTTTAAATACTGTCATTCCTTCCTCATAAAATAAATCTGTACACACTTCTTTTAACTTTTGAAATCGATTATTAATATCCTTTAAAACATACAAGAAAACCTAAAATAAATGAGGAGCCAAAATCTTATGCATTAAACTTCTATATTTCTTCACTGACATCTTCTAAAGGGGTTAAGCATAGAAGACAAAGAACAGCATCACAGTTACATTTGGAATGGTGTGGGTAAATGAAGCAACAGATGGAAAAATCCAAATCATGATTTTTCTGGACCTGTTTCAAGTTCCAACACTGACAGCAAATACTTGGTCCACCTTTGTGAAAATCCTGTGCAAAAAGATACAACAGGGTTTATGTGTTTCTCACAATTTTTTATCAGTATGTTATTATTAGAGAGCCAAAATGTATTAGTAGGAATGCAGAATTTGGATAAAGGTGCAGATTCTACTTTTCAAGGCCTGTGTGTGCCAAGATATTTCAGAGCTGCAAAAAGAAGTGTAAACAACGTCAGCTCAGTGTGTGTCACTTCCCTGCTCTCACCAGCAAGCGGCACACAACGCACATTTTATTCACATTTCCTCTCTTCCCTCTATTCTATTTCAACTCAGAACTTTCAAAGTTTTTACAATAAATGGAGTCTGACAGTTTTAGTTTATTTTAGCAATAATCACAAGACGGTTTTTTTCTGCAAATACAATAAATGTTATCCAAGAGCAATTTGGAGCAATCAGTATTGATATTTATACCATGTGTGTTGATTGAAAAGCTCTTGGCTGTAAGAATGGAATATGAATCTACCCAGAATGTATGAATATCTTCTAACGTATGCACGTGTGGGAGCTATAAAAGGGAGTTTATTATAATTAGTGGAAAAATAGTATTGTATAAACTAAAAAGAGAAAAGAACAAGAAACCTTCAGTTTGTACAGTTCAGCTAACTTTTCTTATTCTGCTCTTTGATGCTCTTCTGTTTACTAGGGCACATTCAGAAATTCAAAGGGCTTTTTTCAATCTCAATGTGATTTTTGGAGTGTGAGAGAAAGGTTTTCAAAAGGACAAAAGAACCAAATTAAAAAAAACCCAAAACCTTGTACCCACAGGGCCAATGCTGCACAAAATATTAAAGTTTACATCTTCAATAGGTCAATTTCTTTGCAGAAGAAACTATGGATTGAACAACTCAAAAATCTCCTTTAGGTTATTCATTCTACATAAAAAACCCTCAGAGGTCACTGCAGCCAAGAAATTTAAAAGTAATAATTCTGCTACTAGCATGGCACTGATACTCTTCACGCCCACAGACACTTTATTCATTACATGGCTCTTCTTGTGGAGAACTGTTCTTGGGGCTAGCAGGACTCCCAAAGACCAGATGTGATACCGGTGAGAAATCTGCATGAGTAATGTCTGTGTGGAAGGATCCTGAAAAAACTCCTGGCAGAACATGGAGAGCACAAAGGCTCATCCAGGGCTGTTTCACCCAGTGAAACTCCCAGGGCAAACCCATCCTCTGCAGAGCAGTCAGGAGGAAGGGCAGCGAGGAAGAGGTGCTGCAGATCCAGCCTGACTCTACAAGAAGGGCTCTCTTATCATTACTTTTGCAGGTCAGATCATCCACATCATCTTTTACCAGCATTCACAATGAAGTTCTCATCCTCCTACACTGCAAATGGCCACATTTTTAGGTCCCACCCATCAGACAAACGTATCAGCATAAGGTGCTATTAAATTCAATCTTCTGAAGTCAGTGGTTTATTACTTTCCATTAAGGAAAGAAGAACAGGAAAACTCTGCTTACATCATTGCAAAAGTTTTTCTGCTTCTAGACTTAGTGACATTTTAAGACATGCAAGCTCTATTTTATTCACAAACAGTAATACTTACTTCCTTGGCAGTGACAGGAAATAAAGCAATTAGATAAATCATTTTTTAAGTCAACACTGGTGTCTCAGCATAACTAAAGTTTGGCTCACCAATATATACAATTCTAAAGCATTTGGAAATCTACAGTCCCATGTGAAAATATTAATTTATATTTAAATTGCTAACTGCTTACCCATCCTAACAATATTAATATTAACAGTGTGACATGAACTCTCTGCTGAATTTGAGATGTAGGTCAGTTATACAAGGAGTTGCCAAACTATAGCTGGAAAATATTACTTCATCAAAGAATTAGCCTTGGTACAACAGTGAATAGCAGAGCCACATGTCCTAATACATGTCAGCCTGGCGCCACTATTGTATGCAGAGCTATTTGCATATATATATTTCTATCACTACCCTGGTTCAGTATCAACACCCTCTGATATGCATTTCCCAGCACATAAATGTGAGCAGCACACACTGGCTGCTCTGAGGTCGTTCTTTGCACTCCCTTGCAACCTTCGTGGTTATTTGCACTTTCACACATCATCTTCACAAAAGGCTGAGCTCAGCTTGTTAAATGTTTGACAGAATATTGCTGCTGTGACTGAAATATTACACTTGAAACCTCACAGACAGCAATGGTAAGATTAAAAAGAAAATAGGTACCTTTCCAGCAAAGGGTTAGAAAGTAAAATGCAGCAGTGAACTGTTTAATGCATGTTAATTCTGATTGATATTATTCTTCCTCCACAGATGTTGAGCTAGAAAATATCTGTATTCTCTCATAGCTCGGCACTTTCCTTTGTTTCCTCACTGCAGCTGCAGACTGATGGATCTAAAAGGTGAGTTCACTTTACTAGCAGGTTTAAAGTTCTATTAGGCTACGGCTGGAGATTTCATTTTCAGTTTTAACAATAGTCTAGACAGATGTGCATCTCCAACAGGGGTAAGGAAAGTTCTTTGATGAGCAAGTCAGCTGGGCATGCTCGCTATTGCAGCAAGACACTCTCTCAGCCTGGTGGGCTTTAAGCTCTCTAGTGGAGCCCTGACCATTTCTTGGAAAGAAAGCCCATTTAGGGAAACCCTGAACCTACAAATGTGTATGTGAATTGAAGTGACATGCTGAAAATAAATAGGACTGGTGTTGGTGACATGCCTAATAAAAAAATCATTAATGATCAATGACTTTCAGCCTTCACTGGTAATTTATTTCAAGATATAAGATAAATTTCTGATTCCAAAATTACAAACAACATCACTGCAGTTCTCACTTACCTTTCACTGGACACTCAATCAAAATATTTGCTCCAATTCTTGCCACGATTGTACCTCCAACAACTGCTGAGAAACTGCTGGCTTCCAGATTCGTCATATTTAACACAGAGGACAAGATGACAGGCACTTCTTTGAAATGAAAGGGATAGTAAAGCTTTATTTAACTTCTAAACATAAATCTTTTATTTAAAGTCATCATGTTTGGAACAGAATGCAGTCTGCAAAGCAGCAGCCAGAAAAGACAGGTGGGACAGATACAGGCAGACTGAGTTCACACCTGCTGCGGTTTTAAAGCAACAAGCCCATCTTACTGCTGGCTATTAAATCAGGCAGACTTTCATGGATTGCCAGTAAAAGAAACTATTTCACATTGCAGTGGGCATGGGTGCTTATATGCATATATTTATACACACATATGTGTCTATGTATATATATATATATGTTTGTGTGTGTTTGTGTAAAAGCCTGGAATGCCACTGTTTTATGGAATGCCACTGTTTTTTGGAGTGCCACTGTTTTACCTGTATGCAACAGCAGTGATGTTTCCATATCAAAACCAGAGTCATTAACCACCAGGCATCCATAGGTACCAAGCTCCTTTTGAGTAGGATTCCGAATCTGCACTCTTCCAGTGGTGTCCAGGATCACCCTGCACAATAACCGAGGAAATACAAGGGTTTCAACCCTGGGACAAACCCAGCTGAATGCCCTTGCAAGAGTTACAGATAGAGCAGCAAAGCTCCTTTTTAGGAGTTTGCAGAGCGAGAGCAGCACAGGCAGCCCCAGCTCTGCCTCCTCTCCAGGAGCACTCAGGGATACACACAGGGAGGATTGTGCACATCTCCTTCTCCTACTACAGGGCTGTGTCCTACTTCCAGCCCTTGGAAGGGCAGTGAGCTTGCTACCACAAACCGGGATCCCCTGGGCACAAAAGTGTGAATAAATCAGAATACCACAATTAAAAGTATTAGCCTTGGCAAGAAATTGATCTCTCTGGACCAGGCTTGGTTTTCAGCAGGATTGGGGAATTCACAAATCTATGGCCTGATCTGACTTTCAAATTACGATGAGGTTGGGGTTGTTGGGGCTTTTTTAAAATGTCACCATTGAAGGTAAAGTTTTCCACCAAAACCTCACAGGTGTCTTGAGTACCTCGCTTGTCCTCTGAGGAGGATCACAGCCTGGGGAAGAGGCTGAAAATAACAACTTTTCTCCTCTGTTACGTTTCTCAGCACTAAGTTACATGACTTGCCATACACTCAGCACATCCCAAAAACCTGCAGCTGGTGTTTTCCCACACTGAGTACATTTACATAATAGATTAACAAAAAATAATATTAAAAATACTTGTATCTCAACAAAACAAGCCACCTCATGCATGGCTCAAGTTGATCCCTTTACAAACCTGACAGATAAAGAACATTTACCTCCTCACACTCTTTCAGATGCAATGCTATTAACATCACTTTTGGGTCCACATACATATATGTAGATTTGTGTATAAGAAACCTTACCAGGAAAAAAATTAGGAAGTAAACCTACTTTGCTTAATATATGTCTTAAGAGCAAGAATATCAATCTGGGCTGAAATTAGGAAGTAAACATACTCATGAATAAACAAGACACCATCATGTCCACAAAAATTGAAGTAGCACTTGCTACAAATTGAAGTATCTCTTGCTACAATTGCTTTTCCATTGAAAATGATGCACATTTCACAAAATAAACATAACTGGTGTTTATTAACTGGTGGGAGCCACATGATTCCAAAAACATTTTCACTTTTTAAAATGGCTTAGTTTGGGTGTCTTTGCTTTAATTGATAGCTCTGCAGAAGTACATTTTTCTTGGCAGTGTGTTTAATCAGTTAAATATGTTGAGAAATATCCAAAAGCGTCTTTATCATTTCTGAACCAGTTTTTTCATTACTCAAGAGCTAGCTATAATTCCAAGAGGCTCACACACAAAGTTAATGTTAATATTACCAGGTGAGCTTCTAATTTATCAGCACTGAAGTAGAAGTATTTGCTCAGGCTTGAGCAAATATCTGATTGTAACAGCTTGCTGTACTCATTTGTCAATCTCAAATGTGATGGTAATACAGGTTCTTTATTATTCTGAATTTCACTGTCCTCAACAGAAATATTTTGAAGTATTGAAAAACGTCCATAAAAGCTCATATTTTTCTTTTTCAATTGAAGTTATGCAGCTCCAGTAATACCTAAATAGTGTGTTAAAGAATAGTGTGGGTACCATTAATATTTTCCCTTCTTAAAATAAGTAAGAGCTAAGACTTCTTTTCATCTATACCATGGCAGATGTTTTTAATGTGTTCCTACTGCATTTAGTATCTGAACAAATCCAATAGCCTCCCTAATTTGAGGGTAAATCTGCTCTTTTTCTGACACAGCTGAAATTATTAAAGCAGATCAAAAAATACAGCCAGGACATCCAAAACACTTCACCTTATAAAAATAGTAAATCGTCCTATGTAGTATCCTGGAAATGGCCAAACACTTGGATGTCAGTAAAGCCAAACAACGTGACAGACACTTGAAAGAATAAAAATAAATTACTTAACTAGAAAGATGGCAGGCCCAGTGGCCATGCTTATCTCATTTTCACAACAGTATGTTCTAATATTGCACAGCAGGGTGGATTTTTTCCATCGACAGTGCCATAGTAAGTCATTCAAAAGTAAAAGAGAAGCTATTTACTTACTTTGCAGAGGCTTTTAATGTCTCGCCATCTTTTGTCCAAGTATATTTCACTTCACTCATACCAGCTGTTTCACACACTAGATTGACAGCATGAGTATTCTTGGTCAGAAAAACAGTATTTCCAATTTGTACAGTTACTGTTTTGTTGAAGGAGACTTGAGGAATTTCCTTTTGCCTCATAATAACTGGAACCTTCTGGTCAAACATTAACTTATCGACCGCTTTTGTGCTGAAATGTTCGGATTCGTTTGGCGATTTGCTTGGGAGTTTCGAGGAAACTTTCTCATCCTGGGCCCCCTTCCATTTTTCAGCAGCTGGTTGTGGATGCCTGGATAATTCAGCAATCAACTGGAAGATGAGCTGGGACGCCAGGTCATCGCTGACTTCTCCAGTTTCAATGAGCTGGCTCATGTTCCTCATGAGCTCCTCGAACTGAGCCGTGTCCATGCTGTAGGCACCCTGCAGAACTGCAGCCTCCAGGCGCTTGTTCCTGAACTCCCGAGAGCTGAACTCCTCTGCTGAATTGCTCCCAAAGCTCCCGAGGTTCCTCAGGAAGGGCTGATCATTGACTTGCCTGTCGCCCAGGTAGAGCTCATTCTTCTTGCTCCACATCTGCCACATTTTGCTCATCTTGTGCCATTTGGCCCCGAGGCTGTTGGCCTCGTTGTGATCTGGGTGGCCGGGCTGCTTTTGGGGGGCTGGGGGCTCGATGAGCCTGTTGTCAGTCCCGATGAGTTTGAGCACAAAGGTCTCGTGCACAGAGCCCGCGATGCACCGGTACACGCCGATATCCGCAGCCTCCAGGGAGTGGATTTTCAGCGAGCCTGACTTGGTGATGCCAAGCCTCTTGGAGTTTTCTAAGCGCTGCCCATCCTTCTCCCAGCGGATAAGGGACTTCTGGAACCTTCTCACAGGGCACTTAATGACCACAGAGGTTTTTGGGAGTAGGTAGGCTCGGCTTCCGATGGTAAAATTAATGCGCTTCTCCGGCCGTGTCTGAATGTAAACCCGGTGAATGCTGACAATCTGAGGTCCATGGGCAGAAAACTTCGCTGGAAGCTTGGGCTTGATCTCTGCAAGAAAACAATGTGTTGAAAAGCATCTAGTCATTGGCAGTCATGCTTACAAAATCTGCTTTTCACAGAATGCTTGAAAGAGCTTTTCTTGACTTTGTTCAAGTCAGACTGCAACACGCAGGGCTTTTATCTGAGTCACAAAAATGCAAAAATATGAACAACATGAAACCATAACATTCCCTTGCTTTGGCCAAGAATTCTATTGCTTCTTCTCAAATCTCCTAACAATAAAAGGATCCAGACAACATATACCTATGTGAAGGAGGTAGATAGTGAACACATATATGAAAGGGTATGTACACATACTATATATTACTCCATGTATATGCTCATATTCCAGTTATATTTCCTACTGCTGCCTCAGAAAGGCTAGGCATGATGGAAATGAAAAAATGGAATTAAAAAAATGTGAACACATTATCACTTTCCCCACATTTGAGCACTGTTGAGTGCAGAATGACCTAAATAAAACAAAATCTATCCAAAATGTAAGGCTCCCCTTGACTCTTATTTAAAATGTTGGCTGGCTGTGCTGGTTGCCTGAGTCAAGCCAAACTGATAGCAGTGCAGGAGGTGAAAGAAACAGTCAGTGAAGACACAGCACATGCAACAGGCAAAGCCACCCTGTAATCACACGCTGAGGGTAATTCATTAGGGTTGAAAGATGAGTTGCTGAGAGTATTGTGCCAAGAAAGCAGGGAGGGAAGCGAGGGAAGAGAGAAATAAGGCAGAATTTTGAGAGACTGAATAGAGTGATCAGATGAATTACAAAAGCAGGCAATAACAGCATAAAGCTTTGTGCAGGCTGGGTATAGAGACAAAGGGTATTATGAAAATCCTCCTGCACTGAACTGCAGGCACCTGGACACTGGAAGGTTTCAAGGGATCCACCTGGATGAAGACGCTGGAAGGTTTCTGGGGATCTGCCTGGGTGAAGATGCTGGAAGGTTTGAAGGAGCTGCCTGGATGAGGATGCTGGAAGGTTTCAAGGATCTGCCTGGGTGAACAGCCCTATGGCAGGCTTTCCCGGCGGAGCTGGGCGGCACAGGGGTGTTTTGCATGCAGAGCTGCGGATGCCGCGGTGCTGACTCAGCGCTGGCGCAGCAGTGCCCGCTCTGATCAGCGGAGCGAGCCTGGCCGGCAGCGCCGGGCAGGAGGGACAGGGCACGGCATGAACAGGGACACACACACACACATCCCGAGCCCTTCCAGATCGGCCACACGGGAAGGGTCGGGAAACAATGCTGCTGGTGCTGGAAAACAGCCCCGCTGTGCTCGGTGACCCAGAGCTTTGGTATGTGATGGAGAGAAAGCTCAGAGCCCGCAGAAAGGAGCTGATGGCCAGGAAATGGACACAGGGATCAAAACATTTCTCAGCTCGTCTGAATCTGAAATCGGTGCTGCTTTTCCACTTGGGAGGTACTTAAATAAAAAGACAACTAGGCTGATGGCACAGAAATGATACCTGAAAATCCGTGTATACATGTGCTCCAAATATGCTGTGAAGAAATAGGTGAAAAGCTAAATGCTTCAAGCATTCAATAAGTGTGTACACTATAGGAACTACACCCTGGAGTGCGTTCTTATGCTTATAAAACAAAATGGTTATTTTCAATGTTTTGGGTAATGAGTTCAGACCTGTGGGGATATCATGGTTTCATAATTACACAGCTTTTAAATGGGCATTTGTTATCCAGACACAAGGTTCCCTCAACCATTTCACATGGTACAACAATTAAATTGTTTTAGGCATTCAGTTTACTAAAATTATTAAAGTAGCGTCCTGTTTTTAATAAGTTATTGGGCCCCAAATATTTCTTTTTAGGGAAGCGTTCCAGTATTAAATACTCTACTTCCAAAACCCAACTTACAGACACAGTAAGTGTAACTTTAAACACACAAATTAAAATACTTCAGGCTGTGGTCTGTTTACACTAGTTATTCCAGCTTAGAATTAAACCCACTGCATACTTATAAATATGTTAACAAGTCTCATCCATTTCATTTCTTTAAAAAAGACAGACCACTAACTCTCATTAGCAGCTCAACACTGAAGGGTGTGTGTGTATTTTTACTGGTGACTGGTGAGCAAGGCTGAGAGCGAAACAAAGTTCAGAGTTGTGGATGGCAGGCCATATAAATATATAAGGTCACATGAATGTATGAGGCCACATAACTTTGCATCCTCTAGGTCCTTACTGTCATTCAATCTTGCAGCTGCTGAGGTAATGGACTGTTTGGGAGGGTAAAGGTAAATCTTATGGAATATGTGCTGGAGCCTTTGGACCTCATTATCACCTGATACAAATCCATCTGCATCTGTGACCTGTAATGGTCCTGAACAGCTTCAGCTGGGTTTCAGATCCTGGTGACCTCAGGGCTAGACTGGTGTTATTTCCTATTTCTCAGAGCCCGGAGTCAGGAATGTTTCTACTTAATAAGCACTCCTAAGTCAGAAAACAGCTACAATTACCAGTCTCAGGGTAAAAGATTAAGTCTAAAATGACTCAGCATTGTCATGAGACAGTAAAAAAGGCATTCATGTGAGCCACAGAAGCATCATCTTGAGGAGGGAGATTTACAAACTGCTCTCCAAGGCAAGAACCCCCAACAGCACCCACACCACACTGCTCCTCACCCGTCCACATCGCTCCTTGTCCTACAGAGGAGATGTGGATGCAGAGGAGATGCCTCCTGCACGTTCCTGGGACTCCAGAGCCTGCTGCTGTCCCAGCCCTGGCTCCTTCTGCAAGACCCAAGCAGGAGCTGCAGGTGTGGAGCAGCCTCACACCTTCCCTCCTGCTGCACTGAGGGAATCCCCAGGCAGATCCTGGCTGCAAAGGCTCCCCTGCTCCACAGAGTGATGGGAATGCAAGGAGAGGACAGTAATTCTCTTTATGGCTTTGATCTGCTCCCATTCTGGCCAGAGTTGCTCCCTCTGCAGCCCCCTGGGCTGCTCTCTAGGCACCGTGCTGGAAGCTGACATGCTGACATTAATATCAGTCTGAACCAAGCAAATTGCAAAGCAGCTCCACTGCCATTCAACTATCCACAATTAATTAAATTCAGATAGATATGCAACTCAAAATATTTTACTAAACCTTATGCCAAGGACATTCCTGAAAGTCCACGGGGCTTTATTTAAGTGGAGTTTTGAACCTCAGGATTTTGGCATGTTAATCTGAAATGCAGGCCAGGAAAAGAAGTTTCATATTATGTATGAATTAGTAATTATTCTATTTATCATGTTGTTTTGTGAATAATTTTTAAAGCAAAGCTTCAAAATGTATGAAGTAGCTATTTCTTCACAACACTGTGAGTTGAGTCAAAACATGGTTATATCTGACCTGTGATCAGAACCAGGCCATTGATAATGGCTTTTTGTTTTCCCCCAGCTCAAAACTAAAAACTCTTTTTTTTCCCTGTCCTCTCAGCCCCCTGCTCCCCAAATCTGCAAACCAATACTCTCCATTAGAAAGGAAGGGGAGCACAGGTTCACACATAAGGAACCTGCATCTATATCTGCCTATTCTGAATTAGCGTATGCAATTGAACACACTCTGTATCACAGAGGGTTTTCCATCACTGTCAAACAATTAGTGCAACTACCATCAGTATCATAACCCAATTGTGCCCAAATTGTACAATTTCCACAGGCAATCCTTCTGAAAAGATTCTTATATAGACAGTAATAAAACATCAGATTTTTCAAATAATGTCTGTATTGTCACCCCTCTCTGTGCAGCTAATGAGGCCAAGATTGTAATTTTTACAGGGAGAGATAGAAATTATACCTAAAATTATCACTGGCACAAAGTGTCAGGTTTTGAATTCCACCATGTTAAGCAAAATGTCCAGTGTAATACAAACATACAGAGAAAAGACAAGGCAGAACTGGACTCTTATCTTTTCTAATGTCCTTTGTAATTTATGTTAAATTTATTATTTTTTCTCTTTTTTTTTCCAGTTAGAATAGTGTAAATGATAAAGGAAAAATCAGATCAAATGGTGCATAAGAGTGAAGGTGAGAGATACGCACCATAATATATATTCAAAAACTACTTCTTGAGATCATAACCTTTGTTTTTGAGTGGTAGAAATAAAAATAAAAGCAATCCTGTTATTACTGGTATAGCAATTATGACACCCAGTCAGTGCCAAGTTATGTTGTGATAGTGTAGGGAGATGAGTGAATTAATGTGCATGCAGATTTCTCTTTATAAATAGATCATTCCAAATCAGCAAGGAACCAGATAAATTCACATACTTACTGTTGCAGGCATTCATCTGACAAGACCTTACAAGCAGGGAAGGAGACAGAGCACTGCACATCGATCCATTTAATGTGACATATTGGCCCTTTGCTGTGAGGTTTTGGCAGGCAAGTTTCCTTCTCTGGATTCCAACACCACAGCTTACTGAGCACTGTGAAAGGAAGGATGCAGTCAAGATAAGCCTGGTGCTACACACCACACATGCTAGTTTTAAACTAGTTTGTTTTTTGGTGGTTTTCTTTCAATATTTTTTAAATTTTTTTTTAGTTCTGAAAGAGTACACACACTCTACCTCATAAGAATCCTGGTGTTATCTAGTTATTAGACTGATTTATTAGTTATTAAACTCTCTCCACTTTTCCAGGCAATAAGAATATAAGAGAGACAGTTTTTCCAGCAAGCAAGTAATGAATTAAAGTAACATGACAGTGTTTATGCCCAGCCATGGGCTAAACAGAGCAATGAGATCTGGTACCTGAGAGAAACCACTTGGCAGCTTCTAAACAGTCTCTGGCAAGTCTCTCAGCCCTCTCTCTGAGGTTGTATTGCATGAAACTGTAATTGCAGCTTCGAAATTCAATTTTCTAAATAATTTTGAATGGGGAGTGGTAGCAGGTTTGCATTAATCAGGAAAGGAGGAGGATGTATTCCAAAATAATGCAAAGATTTGCTTTTTGGAAGCTGTACCATGAAATTATTGATAGCAAACATGTCTGGTAGAAAGCCTGCAAGTCCCCCAGTGACTGAAGCACTGTGATCAGCCTGGCTGCAGGCTGGCATGCAGAGTTTAGTTCAGGACAGGCTTTGTGACAGCTTCTGCTGCCCTGGCAGCTCCAAACAGCTCATTTACCCAGGCAGAAACCTTCAGAGCTTTTGTTATAATGGAGGGGTTTGGTTCACCATTACTGAGGTTTGCTCACCTTGGACCATTCCCCAAAGACCAGCTGAGGAGGACAATCCACTTTTGCACAGGCTTTACTAGTTGGCAATTTGGGTTCCTGGCAGGTGTCATCAGGGTGTTTCAGGAAACTCCCATCTGTCAGCAGCTGCTTACAGGACACCCTGCGGCTCTGAACGCCCCCTCCGCAGGTACGCGAACACTGAAGAGGAGAAGAATAAACACAGCATTTACACCTGCACGGACATCTGTGCTCCTGAAAAATGACATCTACTTCCAAGGAGAAATCAAGCAGCATGGAAAATTCAGTGCTAAAATAGTTAATCTATTTGAGATGTGAACTGGAGTTCAAATGCCAAACATACTATCTGAATGCATGGAAGTAGCAGAAATCTTAGAGAAAAACATGCATCTTATGCATAAATCTATATCATGAATATGTTAATAGGAGGAGGAGGAGGAGGAGGAGGAAAAGAAGGGAAAGGGAAAGAAGAAGGGAAAGAAGAAGGGAAAGAGGAAGGGAAAGAAGAAGGGAAAGAAGAAGAAGGTGATTGTGTTTAGAGAGCATAGGGAGAGAGATGATCTGTGCAATAACAGGTATCCAGCCTTCTGAGATCCTAACAAGGAGTTCCACCACATCCTGTGACTACCATCAGCACAGGAGTCTAGAGCAGCGGTTCTGGGTTAGTTTGTTCTGTGATGGAAGCTGAAACACCCACAGAAGGTCGGGAGCTGCCTTCCATGCAGGAGAGTTCCAAGTGTCCCCGGCCAGAGGAGCCCATTTAGACCCTTGCCGTGGCCCAGCCGTACCTGCTGCCATTCCTCGGCGTGCCAAGCAGGGGGACAGTCCATCTGGTTGCAGGCCTGCAGGGAGGGCGGCCGTGGCTCTGGGCACAGGCGGGCAGCGGGAGCGGGCGCCCCGGGCTGCAGGCAGGACACGGCGCGGCTTTGGATGCCCACCCCGCAGCTCGCCGAGCAGCGGCTCCAGGGGCCGCTCTGCCACCTGTGCCAAAATACAACAAAACTCTCCTTCAAGAATCCACCTCGCCCTGGACAAGGAGCAGTCTCACCCAGACAGAGCCCAGCAAAAAGCACAGCTGCAGGCACGGTTATTGATCGATGGCTAAAACGCCCTTTGGGTTTGGCTGGAGCACAAAAGTGTAAATTGGTAACAAGCAAATGCAGAATTTATTAACAATAAAGTAATAAATGGTCATTTTCAGACAAATTTTACTCCAGTATTTACCTTTAGAGTGCTTCTCTTAAAAACAGCCTGCTGGCAACCTGCTGATGTTTACAATGATAAATGTAAATATGTAAATAGACCTTTCTTATTTTTAGAAAACTTCTTTTAGATGCGTATATGTTTTCTATAAAACATCCTGTTCCTGTTAGCTTGTTCCCTACACTTAGCAAGAGCAGGTTTCTGCAAACACATAGAAACAAATCTAAAAGGATCTCAGGGATGTCAGAGATCAGAAATGGGTAAAGAAGTCAGCACACATCAAAATTTCACATACCGCCCTTTCAAGGGATCAAAAGACCCAGAGGTTTTTTGGGATTTAGACTGGGTTTGTTCTTTCTCCAGAATCTCCAAATAAACCTAAGAACTACATGGGGCTACTAAAAAAGCATAAAATTGAGGTGCCTTTAAATCATAATTGCATATTTTTTTTTTAATTCAGTAAAGATAAAAAGTGAATATCCTCAGCTTTTCTTTTGTGAAATATCCTCAAAATTTTCCTTCTACTACTAGGAGAGTTAAGGCTCATTTTCCAAGTTTGGCAGATAGTCAACATGGAAGAGATTTATTTCAGAAAATGTCCCCTATTTCATCAGTGAGATATGAAGAGTGGAAAAGGAGCGAACAAGACCAAAAAAACACCCCAATCCCAAAACCTTGTTGAAAACGGAAGTCGTGAAATTCCATCCCAAAAGCATGACCACAGTCCTGCAATCTGAACCCTTTCTGAGAAAGCCAATGTTTATTCAAGTCCCATTAACCCTTCCTTTGCCACCAGATAATTCCATTATTCCAGGGTACCTCGGGGGGCAGAGCTTCGTGTTGCAGGCCCGAGTCATCGGGGGTGGCCTCTTGGAACTGTCACACAGGCTTTCACTGACACCTTGCTTTGTGTCCACGTGCAGGCACATGGCAATGGCTTCCTGTGTGCCTGCGTTTGAAAGGAAAACACCCATCAAACACTGGAGATGGAGGAGATTTCTGTCAAGCTTGCTCTTGAACAACAATCAGTTAAAAAGCGCTGGATTAGATAGCCAGCTTAAAAGTAACATCTCGAGGAAAAAGGAATGCAGAGACAGTTTATATATTTAATACTCAGAAGATATTTGTAAATTCTGTCTTAACTTTACTTCTGTGATATTTAAAAGTCATCATTTGACATTCTACTGCTCTGAAAACCAATAAAAACCAGGTTTTTCTGTGAAGCTACTACCAGAGGCTGCATCCACTGGTTCTGTAATGATCCTAAACCAGCTGCTACCTCCATTGCCAAAATTGAGGTGAAAGTGATTCCTTCTCACTTACCTTGCCTTTAATAAAAACCTAAAGATCTGCAAAAATTGTTATAAAAATGCAGAAAACTTGCAAAGCTATAGTCAGGAGAAACGTTCTCTGTTTAGTCAGCCATTCTCAGTGGCCAAGAGATGCAATGGTTTTGCTGAAGGCAGCAAATCTGACCAGCCTAGAGCTTTCCTGACTAGTTACCATTCTTGGCACCTTCTGATCTGCAGCTCTTGCTACCTGGATCTTATTACTAAAGCATGGAAGATTACTAATGCTCAAGTTTCTATGAGCAAAATGAAACGTAATATAAGTTTCCTTTAGAACAAGACAGCTTAGTGAACACACATTCAGTGAACTACTTCTATTTTAAACTTGTGCAATTATCCAATTTTATATATCATATTCTTTTAGTATGAAAGCCATGCTCAGTTTCAAAGCTCACTCACATGCTCATAAATTACGAGATGGTTGTGATGTGCCTGGGGGATTCTGTGTATCTGGGTTGTTCTATATGAGCTATACTAATGATCCAAGTCCTATAGAACAAAACAGCTAAAATCATAAAATACCTTTATTATTTCCAGGTAAAAATGGCTCTTGCAGAGCCAGTTTCATAGAATTTATAATTCCTTTCCTTATCTTTCACTTATCTTCAGTGATTTTGTAAGGACACTGCTGACCACCACCCATTCTGATTCCAGAGGGCTGGAATACCTGACACAGAAAGTTCCACCCCCAGGCTAATAGTTGTCTCCTGTACACAAGCACTGTCATTTTTTCATAAACCAAAGATGTTCCCTCCATCTATAAGCAATTTTGATTCAATCCAGTGCATTAGCCAGCCCAGGCCACAGTCTCACTTGAACCAGCCCAACTATTTCAGACACCTCTGCAGGGGTAAACCAGTAGCAATTTTCAGAATAACACAAATTCCAATTTCTTTCAGGCTCTCTGGTACACCTTGAGATCCCCTCTGGGACTCATTTGCAGTTCAGAAAGACCTTGTTATATAAATGTTTTGACTACATCCACACAGTGATCAATTTTTATAGAACAAAAGAGCTGACCTTAAATATGATTGATAATCTATTCATTTCTCTTCTATCAAAGTATTGATAATTCTATTAATGTAGAACACACACATTGAGGGAAAACTACTAGTCAGGCTGAGAATAAATATTTAACAACAAATACCATTACTGCAATACAGGCATGAAAATGCCCAAAGATGATGAAGTAATAAACATATTTTTTCTTATAGAAGTAGAGGAATCAAAAGCTTTCTTTGAAGTCAATCCTCAAGTGTTTGTTTAACAGGAACAGCTTCCCTTTCCCCTTACATAGGAAATGCACATTTGACTGTCTACAGGAGAAAAGGAAGCATTCAGAGTTTGGTTCTGACAGAAACAGATTTGCCTTACCAGACAAGTAATAAAACCCATGCCAAGCATCCATATAATCTATATTTTAGGTCATAATCTACCCTATGCTACCAAGCTTTAGCTTTGCTGACCTCCCTGTGTTTCTGTGAGAAAATATTGCTCCAAGGTGATGCTTCTGCTCTGGAACAGGTTGCACCGCATGGAATTGTCTTAGCATCTCACACAAAGGAGGCGAATGAAATTAAATTCCCCTCAGACCATCTAAATTGTCAATAATGTCATGGGAACTTTTCATCTTGGTGTTATATAATCTAAACTGGCCAGCCAAATGTACAAGAGGCATGTCACACCAGGTGATGGGGTCTGTCTACAAATTGGCACCTGGAGTTCATTAAGGGGTTCCTGCCTTGCAGCAGGACCTGTGGAGCTTTAATCACATTAAGAGAAGAAAATGCTGATATGTGGTGTGTTTCTCATTTGACTGGAGTACAGAGCGCAAACTGCATTAGCAATTCCTCCCCACAGGGGCCTCAATGAAAGAAAACTTGCACCCTGTTTGGATGCTGTAAGTACAAAATGGATACTAAAGAGTTGTTAAAAACCCACCACGAAGTCCCTCCTGTTCCTCCGTTCTCGGTTCAAGAACTCTATTCAATAAATAACTGCACCTAATTGATGTTAAATTTGCTTGAACTTAACTGTCAAAATGTCTTTACAATTAATCAGATTTCTCACCCCAAAGTATAATTTTCCATTAGCTGGGAACTTCAATCGCTGATAAACTTATTCTATGTCGATTAGAAAATGGAAAAATCTATTATTCAAACAAGCAAAGTTTTATATGTATGACTTTCTTAGCTTATAATATAAACATAGTAGATAATTTAACTAAAACATTATGTATGCAGCAGGGAGCATTAAGTATTTTTACAGTAATCTGATGCACTATTGTAGTAATTACCCTACTATTCAGTGAAATAGAATATTTTCTATTTTAACCCAGCATTCAAACCACATACATTTACATTCTTCTGCAATCTTTTCTGTGCAATGAAATATACAGTGCTTGAAGCTGTTTTTAAAGAGCAAAATGCTTGAAATAAGCCCAGAATTTCTCTTCCTGCATTTTTAAAGTACAAAGAAAATGGGGGTGGAAAGCTGCTGTGCAAATGTTAAAAAGGTGGATCTATCATGTATACCTGGAAGAGGAAGGGCATTTATTTACTACAAATAGTCTCAGTTTGGCAGCTTCTTAAAAATATTTACTATAAGCTGAAAATAACTCAGAAAAAATGCCAAATAATACATATCCTTGAGCCTCTCAGTGCATCTATTTTATACTTCTGTAAAAGAGTAAACAGCATCTGCAGCTAATGAAACAAATGACACAAGTGACCAGCTATCAAGGTGACTCCAACACAAGCTGAGAGCAAATTTTCTCAGCTTTCTATGTGAGTCTCTGAATGGTCATTGTTTTTCTTAGAACCCTTACATTTGGCTAGAATCCATTAATATTCTAAGAATCTCAAGTTTCTCATAAATAAAATGGTAAACTTTTAGCCCTAATGGTCCAGACAAAAGCCTGAAAACACAACTTGACTGCACTCTGAAATTACCAAAGCCACAGAGGCTGTAGAGGAAATAACAGGAAGTGCATATGTTATTTATTGCTTAATCACATTATTTTTAGGCCAATGTAATGACTTTAGGTGGCCCAAATAACCACTTTTGAAGCATACAGAGTACTCCTACTACTACTAATAATAATTGCATTTAACCACCAAAATCTACCTCTTGCAACTAAACGTTTATTTAAACAAGAAAATGTTCAGAGATCTTTAAAGTGAAAAGCATCCCTTTAAAATGTTGTTGAATAGTAAATGATTGACAACACTAAAGAAATGCTATAGATTACAACAAAAACATTTCTCTTCAGGCATATTCTTTATTCTCATAATGATTATTAATTCCCTACTGATGACATTATGTAAATTACACTTACATCTGGGGCTCTCACATCACAGCCCAAGTTCTTCAGATTGAAAAGAACACAAAACAAAAACAAAGAAACCCAAAAAAACATTCAGGGAAAATGAAGGCAAATTTTGAGATCCCCAAGCACACAGCTGGCTTATTTTTAGTTTGGGATTTCTTCAGGCACTGAATAAAAAACCAGATCTTTAGATTTCAGACTGGTTACAGAGCTTCCTACGGGTATTAAGGGTGATGTCTGCCTATGACTAACAGGCCTCGACAACTTTTATTTACACTCATGGAAAGACTGATGAAGGAAGCATTAATTATGCTAAGAGGCATAAAACAACTTGGCTGCACTCAAAACCTCAACTTGTTTGGCTCTTCAGGTGCTGTGTGAGAAGCCACAGAGGTTTGGGGCAGAAGGCACACAAGTGACCCGAGACTGGGGTGACTCTTGCTCTAGAACTGGAAAGATGATGTTTGATAACACCTTGCAAATCACCCTCTGTAAATCTAATACCCAAAAAACCCAATGTTTCCATCTGCATTTTTTCATCTGCTTTGCACAGGGACCAGAGGAGACTGAATTACAAGTCTAGTCTGTGTGAGGATTAAAAAAAAGGTGCAAGTGACAAGCTCTGAAAGAGAGATTCGGACTTTGCTCAAATATTGGCTATAAAAGCTTCCAGCCTGCTTAGAGCCTGCAGAATTTTCCCTCATTCAGAAAGAGTTAAGCACCAAGAAATGGGGGCAGGGAGTTCCGAGGATACAGAAATCCACAGGAATTTGTTTTAATAGCCACTGGTAGATGCATGCATACTGGAGAAAAAGCACCTAATATAATTTACATTACACTGGGTTATTCCAAACTCAGACAACATTTATTTCTTATAACGAAAGAGTTCATCTAATTGAAATGAGATTTGAACATAAAACTTAGCAGAAATGGATCAGCTCCTTTGAACTACACAATGGAAAAAATAGTAGACAGTGAGATCATTAGCTAGTACATTGCAGTGAGCTGGAAACAGAAGAGATGTCTGGTTCCCTTAAAACTATTTATCGGCAGGTAATTTTTGGTCTGTTTGAAAGCCTTTGCCAAGGCAGCCAGAAGACCAGAGCTGATAGAAAGGAAAAATCACCTAACTAGCACACCAATATGGGGGCTTCTGAAGCTGCTCGTTGATAAAACACCCTGACAACTTCCCACATTTCCCAGGAGCATCACATAAGGAAAATGTCTAGACACAGTACCAATGATACCACAGAAGTCTTAAAAACACAAACAGATATTGTCTTTCAGACTTCTTCAAGCCAGTCATTTCTACTGCATAGCAAACAAATTGTTAGATTACTATGAACACCTACAGGATGATTCTGGGTCAGGGAATCTCACAAATTCATGAAAGGGTCAGAAGTCAACAACAGAGTTCATGTTTGGCTCCCTCAGGAACAAAATTTAAGCTGAACACAAGATTCTACTCATCAGTCATTTTGAGGTTCCTTGCAATGAAACTGCTGTGTTCAGTGCAGGCTCCTTAAATTACCATCAGTCTGCACACCAAGTGCAAGTTTTTATGGGAATGCTTTTGCAAGGACAATCTCATCCTTGAAGATGCAGAATGCAATTGGAACGTGTGCAATAGCAGGCAAGGACTAGAGATTATTTCAGCCTACATATCTGATTATGTCCTCAAAATTCAAAAATCTTGGAATTTTAGAACACCTCTGGCAAAGACATTGGCTAAAAAGCAGTAGAGTGGATTTAAGATGGCAAGAAAATGGTTGTGTGTTCCAAAACCAGTCGAGATACCAGAACTATAAATTCAGAATTAATGGATGGGTTGTTTCTGCTTTACAGCACAATTTCCTTATTTCTAAAAACATTTATCTTATTAAAATATGAAACAGAGTCACCCAGCCACAATAGCTGTCACTACCATCTCATGCTGCTACAAACACACTTGGACTACAGTCTCTCCTCCCCAGCCGTGATGCCACTGCAGGTAGTGCAGGGAATGGGATGCTCCAGCTTTTGTGATCACAGGTGCTGTTATTCCTGTGGATCAACCCCCTCAGTAAGCAGCAGTGTTAAATGATAAAGGAGGCACTGTCAGTCACTTACCATGCTGCTGATCCCATTCTGGGGCATCCCTCCTAGGTCCTGTCTTCTAGATTTGAGCTGGTGAACAGCACCAAGGAGGGAGGCTGCTGTCTGTGAGCTCTATCTCTCTCCCCACTTCCAATTGTTTCTGTTTCCCCTTTTTCTACATTTTTTATTTCTTCTATGGGTACAACTGTCTTCACTTCCCACTGATGTCAGCAGTCCTGTCATATATAGGTGTGTTCACAATTCCACTGCCTCCACTTAACACTTCATAACTCACTGTGCTCAGTCCCAAAGTACAGTGAGTAGTAGCAACACCAGCAGCCTTGTCTGGTAACATGTACTTAGGACGACAGGGAGATTCGATTACATCCAGGCAGGAATGTGCCTAACTACTTGCAGACAGATGTATGGCACAGAGCTCCAGGCAGTGATACAGAGCACCCAGACCCAAACCAGCTCCTGTTTGATCTCCACACCAGCCAGGCTGGAAGCAAGTCTCTCTAATTACAGCTCTGTATTCCCACTGTTCAGCAGAAAATGGCAGATTTATAGAAGAAAAGGGATAAACATGGGAATTTTTACTCTGAAACCATACAGTTTTGGTTCCCAGGAAAAGGTAGATCATCTAAACATCTCCATCACTGATATATCAAACATACTGGTACCACAGAGGGCCTGGCAGCTGACACCCCTGCAGCAGCAAGACTAAAGCAAATTGCTCTATCAGCTTCCTGCACCTTACTTTACCCAATAAGTTTTCCTCCTTTGCTGAAGGAAAGAAAGCAGTTTAAAATACTCTACTGATATCCAAAAATATATTAAAGCTTGTAGCTGCAGGTTTTCCTACAGATCAACATAATTACTTTAAGGTAACACTAACAAGAGATGCAACAACACCAAACAATGCCAAATTCTCACAACCCAGGATAAATTAAGAAAAAATAAAAGGTACCTCCAAGACACGTGGCCGAACATGGGGTGAACCCAATATATTCCCAGTCATACATCACAGTGCCATCTCCAGCATGAGGAAATTCAGGCGTGTAGGGCACAGGATCACTGTCACAGGAGGGCTGGTGGCAGACTCGTTCTGTGGGGGGCCGCTCATCCTCACACTCCTCCTCGGGCAGCTCCACCTCGGTCTGGGTGAAGGAGAGAAGGATCCGGCACTTCACCTCTCGCACCTGGATGCCACTGCCACACGTGGCACTGCACGGGGACCAGGGCTCAGGAATGAACCTGCAAACACCACAGCGCTGCCATTGATTCCATGCAATTGTGTCTCTAAAACACAGCCAACTAGCACAGAAATATGGGGGCCTTCTGAAGCTGCTCGTTGATAAAACACCCTGACAACTTCCCACATTTCCCAGGAGCATCACATAAGGAAAATGTCTACACAGAGTACCAGTGATACCAACAAAGTCTTAAAAACACAAACCGATATTGTCTTTCAAACTTCTCCAAGTCAGTAATTTCTGCTGCATAGCAAAAAAATTGTTAGATTACTATGAACACCTATAGTACAATTCTGGGTCAGAGAACCTCACAATTTCATGAAAGGGTCAGAAGTCGATAAATGGGTGTTTATACACAGACCAGAAAATACATCAGAAAAAACACATCAGAAAATACATCATACTGACGCTTAAATAGAATGCACAATCAAGTATCTTAAGTCTCACACTTGACTCTCACACCCCAGACCATTCACCAAAATTCACACAAGAAGATGTAGGAAAAGAGAGGAAGAATCATGAGGAACAGGGAAAGCTGTATCCTTTGCTGAGGTAAAAGGAAAACACTTAAATCTTTTCTCAGTCTCCTTCAGCGGAGAAAAAAGGAGAACCTCCAGGAAGATGCATCTGTACAATATAAAATAACTCCCTAAATACACAGACTTGGGCATATTCCAAAAGTATATTTGCAATCTGCTTAAATCTGAGAGGTCCTCACCTTATGTCATACTAATTAGCAACCAGAGAAAAGAAGGCTTTTCAAATGGAGCCATATCCAGTCCACACCACAGCAGGCTCTTCCCTCATCTTCAATAAATAGGTCTAACCACGCTACAGTCCATCATTTTTATTAGAAAGCATTTATGCCCCTGATGAACTACAATAAAATCTCGTTTTACAGGTCATGAATTTGTTATAATATTCTCTGACTTTGAGGGTCACATTAATATCTGACAGTAATTTTCAAAATGGCACTAGAGACAAGGGGTTGGATTTCATTAATAAAGTTATCCTGGGTGGCTCTGGGGTATACTTTATGAGAAGTCAAATACAGAACTTCCTTGAAGTTTTTTTCCCCTATGAAAAGGCTGCAGTTGGTCTTTATTATGTATCCAAATGTATCTGATGATCAAAACACCAGTGGAAGATATAGGAGGATAATTTCACCAATGTTAAAAATGTATTTGGAAAGAAAGATCCAAATTCGGATTCAAAGATCTGGCCCTTATCTTGGATAAAGAATTATCTTTTCCTTACTGCAGGAAAGCTGCCCTTACAAACATAAGAACAGTTGTGTAAGACAAAAATCAGTATTTACACTCTGCATACACAGTAAGCACAGAAAAATGTCAACAGTGTGGTTTGATTCTGTGCACAGTTTATCATCTTGCCAATAACTTCTTGCCAGTATACACAGAGGAAGAATCAAATAGAAGAAAGGAGGACAGATGGCTGGATAACCTGTAAGGATTCTCTAAGTCAGTCCTTGGGACAGTCACCAAGGCTGTGATTGGGACAGACCCCAAAAGTGACTTTTCCTGTGGAAAAGACTATTCCTATCTCTAATAGAAGTTAAAAGATTAATTGGTTATTCTTTAAGGAGATATTAATGAAATAATTTTAGAGCTCTGCTACAAAGATAAATATATCTAAGCCCATCAACATTTCCTTGAGCTGTCTCAGAATTTTTGTTAGAGCTCAGTGGTCCTCACCAGACCTCAGGAAAAGGCACATTATCCCCAGCTCCTTTTGACACCAAGAGCTCCCAGTGCTCATCCCTTCACAGGTCTGAGCACCTTCCTGGATGGCCAGATTGATGTTATCAAGGATGCTATCAACCCAGTGCATGGCTGTGTCCTGCAGAGATCAAATCTGAGCAAATGCCAGGTTAGGAGCAGCCCAGGAGCCACTGAGTCCATGGCACAGCTGGTGGGGTCAGTGCCCAGATGCCTCTCAAATAAACTCTAATGACTATTCTGTGGGAAAAGCTGCAAAGGAAGGCTTTCTCCTACCCCAACAGATAAAATCAGCTTAATCCTGGAACATCAGATCTCAATCTTTTCAAAGACAGCCATGCAAACTACCTAGGAGGGCAAAATCACCCTCATCCAAGGAAATGCATGAGCCTTACTCAAGCATATTAGCTGTGCTTTGAAGACAACAGGATGACAATGAGTTCAGAGGGAAACTTGTGCTTAAGTGCTTTATTGGATCATGGCCAGTGTGCATAGGCTTAACAGAATGATTACTTTCTTCTCCTTCTGTGTAATACAAAAAAAATAGGCGCATTTATACTTACGTACCTAATTGGAAAAATAAAATTGATGGACTTTTATAGTTGAAAATAGTTGGTCTTCTAACCATAGCTAAGTTTATAGTCTGAAAGTAATAACTTCTTTTGGTAAAAGCATGACAGCAGCATACCAGAAATTAGTGTTAGTTTTGTGCACTGTAGTTGAGTGCACTTAAACATTCCAAAAATAATGTATCTCGAGGACATTCTTTTGAAATCCTGTAAAAATTAAAGGAAATTTTGAACCACAGCAACAATTTCACTCAGCAACCAACTGATTTATAAAGAAACTCAGAAAATTCTAAGCATTTTTTCCCTTGACTTATAGCAAGCCTATATTAGAATTGAGCTTTTCCTGTTGAATATTAGTGTCTGGAATTTTTTCACTGAAGTGCAAGATAAAAAATGAACACACTAAATACTTTTTATTTCACCTTGGCATTTGTTAAACTAGTCATGTGACTATTTACCTATTGAAATCCTAAACTATAAAACTTCTCCAAGGATGATCATGTTTAAGTCACACTAATTTCTTTCAACAGATGCCAATGGAGACTGCTAGTACAAAAGCAGAGCAAGGAACTGACTGAACATAGAGAGCTGATTTTTATCTAAATTTTGAGTTCAGGCAGATGGGGCTTTTTAATTTTTCCTTTATCTTGAACATGAAAAAGCAAAGCCTGTGACAGGTCATTAAAGCAAACTCCACCAGACTCCTCTTTTTATTAAAAAAAAAAAAGAAAATAGAAAAATGCAAATTTGAGCAGGTACAACTTTTTATCATTAGCTTTTTTACCAATCATTCTTCCCAATGCTACATTGAACTAAATTTCTCCCATACCCATCTGAGCACATATAAATTATGAAGACACTTGAGATGCAGTGGAGGGCACATCCATGCTGCAGTGTTTCAGTCTAGCACTAATGGAAATGTGCATTCACCTGGCACAAGCTGTAAAAGCAAGTGGAGGATGACCTGAGAAATGAAGCAGTGACCTAAAGTAATGATGATTAAACTGGAACAGAGCAGCCCAACTCAACCAAATCAAATCTGAACTGAAAACTGAACTCAGTGTGGCCCTCTGCATCTTACTAAAGACTTGGAAAACTTGGTGTCTCTTAATTTTTAATTTACCTCATGACCATAGTTTCTGCTTTCAGTTAAGACAGGAAATGCCTAAATAATGAGGAAAAAAGGCAGGTCCGGCATTATTTCCAGTCCTAATGCACCAAGGGTCCTGGATAAAAGTCTAAAGAACCATATACAATGTGGTTTCTTACTGAGCAGAACTTGCATGGTGCTGGCACCCTACCCCTGCCTGCAGCACTACCCTTGCCTGCTCTGCTTTTATCAGCCTCAAGGGTAACACGTTGGACAAAATCACCAGCCTGCTTTCAGAGAAGGAGCTGTGAGAAATGGGTAATTCTCCATCACCAAAGGCACAGTGGGGACATGTCTGAAAATGACTCCAATGCAATAAATGGAAACCTTTATGAGAAACACTGCGTTTCACATCACTTTTTAGCTCATATTGCTGAAAACATATATCAGTTTTTGAAAGCATTTTAGTTTTTCCCTAAGCAATGACAGAGAAAGGCAGCTGAGGTGTCTATTTCTTTAACTTGCAAGTAATAAAAAGGATGCAAGAACTTGCTGGAGCTTCTCTGCGAATCCCACTGTAACTAAGAAGGCTCGAGGGAAGAACATTTAAAATAATGATTGGTATCAACTGTCATCACATTCCACAACTGAAAACTAAAAAGGTCAGACCTACATTTTTCTTGGCCTCACTTTAAGGACAGTCATTTTTTATTTTGCTAATAATAAAAAAAAGAAGCTTTTGAACATTCCCCCTCTATGTAAATTCAGGACACCAGCCGTGGTAGACCACAGAGGCAGAAGTATTTATCTTCCACAAGCTACTTTTGGCATATCCATCACTTGTGGCTTCTAAAACACAGCTGCATTTATTCTCTTATTCATTATCAACTAAAACATCACACAAAAGCATAGAGAGAAAGTTGTCATAAAAGGATGGACTAGAAGTTGAGACTTCATATTGTGGTTTAAATTTGGATGACAAGAGAACAACTGAAATTAAAAGTGATTGCATTTTACCAAGGAAATCACAAGTCTCCTGCTAGGCAGAGGTGGGCTGTGAGTTATCACTGTGCCATGTCTAAATTACAGAAAACAAAGTTAAACAGATCTGAATCAGAAGGAAATCTTGTTATAATTTACTCTGGGAGAAGGAACAATTTATTGTCACAGTTTCTCTTTAAATCTTAATCCCTGCCCCAAAAATCTGACTCTGGCTGGAAAGCACCAGACAGTTTGGGCATGAGGTTTAAAGCACTGATGGAGAAATTCTCCGGTTGCAAACCATTATTGTCCACATGACCCACAGACAATCTGCAGAAAGGAATGAAGTCAGGCATCAGCTATTTCTCATCTCTCCTTACCTGCCAGCTCCCTTAGGAGACTAAAGAGCAAGCAGTGGGCAGCAGAAGACAGTACAATGAAATTCATGGGGAATCTGGTTACAGGGCTAGAGCGGGGTCCCAGGAGAGCCCAGAGTGGGTGCACAGCATCTCAGAGCACCTCAGCACAGAGAGGGGTGAGGGGAGCCAGCAAGAGATGGCTGCAGAAACCTTTCAGGCTTAGGTGAGGATGCTTCTGGAAATTGTGAAGGAAAATCTAAGGACAGGATGAGGTTCATGAATGAAGGATGGAAAACATCTAAGTCTCCAGAGTGAGTGGAGAAGAAAAAGGCCACGGTGGAATATATGGGCCACAGCTAGGAAGGATGAATAACTGCTGTCATTGTCAGGACAAGGCAGCCCATGACAAAGTTTCCAGCTCAGCTCTGCTACATTTTACATCTCCTCTGAACCAGCAGTGCTCTTTCCCTGCCAGTCCTCCCTGATTGTTCTGTCAGACTGATGCTGGAGGATCCTAAAAACCCAGAAACTGCATTAGCTCATGGTTGCCACAGCAGGACTTTGTAATGATAGAGATAATTTTCTTTATAGCTTCATGCTGAATCCTCTCTAGAAGTGACTCATGTACCTTCACTCTGCTCTCCTGACGCTTAAAAGGCACATTTGATCGCATCATCCCCCTTCGACAATCACACTTTATTTTTATATCTTTGCTACTACCCTGTCTGAATTCAGGGCCACTGATTTGGAGAGTGAAATAACCCCTCACAGTAGGTTGACACTTGACTTGAGAGGCTAGAGCAGTGAAAAGTTTAAACTACAGTCACCATAACTATATAAACACCTGTTTGGCAAGAGGTTTCTTCTGTGAGTCATTGCAGGTGTAAAGATTTTATTACTCATGGTCACACCTGTTGCTGCATGTGTGCCAAAAATCAGGAATTGCTTGATGGAAGAAGAAAAATAAGCATAAGGTACACTCTGCTATCAGAGCAATATAAATCCAAAGCAACTTCATTAAGCTCATCTAAATTATTTCAAACTGACATTACTAAAAAAAAAGTGCAGAATTCAACACAGCACAATAAAACACTGTTCAAAATCTCACTACATACAAAGCAAATACTTTTTAGAAATTTAAATACTTTAATGCCTATATATTGAATATATTACACATATAAATAAATGTGTGTGTGTGTATATGAAATGTACACAAGGGATATAAGGAATTGTGTGGATGCCCTAACTTATAAGGGTCAGGAACAAGTGTAGCTGGATTTAAATTGTGCTTTCATTCCCAGCACTTGCAAGGCTTAACCTCATCAGTTTTTAAGGACTCACAAAATCCAGATGTTATTTCACACATATACACATGTAAAATAGCACAACTTACCCCCATAGATGCAGCTAAGCACAGAGATCAGCAGGTTTTTCTCACTTTATGCATTGGTCTCACCCCCCAAGGAAATCCTGGCAACCCTACAAAGTACCTCTTAAGCTTTAATACCACCACTACATTCTTGAGGTAACAGCTATGACCGGGATAAAACTAAAGTTATTTAATTTATTTCTGCTGAAGCATCTCCACATGCATTAATTGGGGCTTAATCAGGCTAAAATCCAGATCCCTTTGAATTCCTGAATGATACAGGGGCACTTTAACAGTGTAGCTGTGTATCATCCAGAACAGGAGCTCCAGAAGCAAAGTTACTGGGATGTAAAATTAGGAACAGCTCACCACAGGACTCATCTCCCATGGAGGGCCAACTGTCAAAGCAAACTGCACAGCAACACTCATTCCAGAGGTCTGCAAAACACACTGGAAATGTTTCTTCACTGTAAAAGGCTGTGTACTTACGTTGGCTCTTCTGAGACTGTGATGGTCTCTTCCATTTCATGGGCCTGTTTAAACCATGGCAATTTTGCTTCCACAGGACTTTTTTCTGGTAGAGGACAAAAACTCAAAACATTCAGTAATTTCTCCAAAATCAAAGCAATATGTAAATGTCAGCATTAATAATTTCAGAATTTCACAGTTGACGTTGCTTATTGATCTAATGCTTTTGCAGATATACAGGATAATAACGCAAAAACTAGTAGAAAATTTCATCATGCTGTTTGAGCTCCATTCTTTGTTTTAAACTTGCAGAAATGGAGAAGGAAAAAGGAAAATAGTTTGAGTATAACTTAATGAGCTGCTGAGTCATATTGAGAATGTTGACACCAGGACAACACATTTAATTTAAAACAAACAAGAAAATCCCAGGTGATACATATGGAGTTGCAATCCCATTTCAAGTATTATTGAATACTTGAGTACTTTTCATTCCCATTTTTCCCCATGTTATTGAATCCTTTTCATTCCCATTTCAAGTATTATTGAATACTCCTCCTCCCTGTGTTAAGCTCATTAATTCTGGTTTTCCCAGTTTGACCAGACTGTATAGATTTAGTTGGCACGTTCACTTCATGACAGTCTGGCCACATTATCAGCAAAAAATATCAGCAGGGCACTTTTACTAGCACCAATAATTAAAGTGCTTGTTTCTGCCAAAACTGGGAAAAAAACCCCAACCCCTAGTAAATTCCAGCTTCTGGCATTTCTGAAAAAGCTTACCAGGGGCTTTTAATTCTCTGGACAAAAAATACCGCGAAACAACAGCAGAGCCAGACAAAACCCCGGTTACCTTTTGGCTTGTAGCAGGGCACTGGCACGATGCACTCCTCCTTGATGTGCAGCTTGAGCTGCGGGTTGCAGCCCCCGACGTGCTGCCCGCGGTGGTCGATGCACAGCACGACGCGGTAGCGCAGCCCCCGGCCGCAGGTCACCGTGCACTGGGGACACAGCGGAGCCCCTCAGCACTGCCCGGCAGCACTGAGGGGCTCGCTAAGGTTTTCCCACCGAGATGCAAGGGTTTGGCCCTGCGTCGCTAGCTGGGTAAGGAAAAGGTTGGTGATGGGGGAAAAAGGTGAAGTTTTGGGGATACAAGGGGGGCTTTTGGGGTTCTGTGAGGCTTATCTGGCTGAAATAAGAGTGGCTGTGCACTGAGAATGCACTCTGTCACAGTGGTGATTTTCAGTCAAGGCTGGGTCAGGGGAGCTGCATTTTCTGCACTCTGGTGGCGCTGATGTCATCTAGATGAACTAAGGAATTACAGGAGTGCTGGCCTATCTGACTGTATCAGATAACCACAGCCAGGGCAAGCTGGCTTAGGCTATTGTTACTGTAATGAAAGGTAAGAATGCTGGAAAATCACCCTTGCAGACTTGCCAGCCCCTGAGACAGACATGCCTTTAACTATTACAGCCAGTGAAATACTACATTTATCAAGAACTGAGACATAAATGACCTGACTGCAGAGGGGCCTGACCTCTGTCTCTAACATCTGCATGCAAAGCAGGAATTCAACAGGCACATTTGCATTTTGCTTCACACAGACACGTTAATGTTTTGATTATCAGGCAGAACTGCTCAGAGCAAACTTTGGATTACTATTGATTATCTTTCAGGGCTATACTTTTCTAATAGTCCTGTGCTAATAAATACATGGTAACTCAAGACCAGAGGCTTTCTTTAGAAAACAAGACAGAAGGTCCAAATTACTTCTCTACTTACTTGAGACCACTCCATTGCCACCCATTTAGGACAATCAAACAGATTGCAGGTCTGAATGACTTTGGGCTTTGGGGCATACATGCATTTCCATTCCTCCACTTGCAGTATCTCTCCATGGATGGTCTCCTCTACACACACAAAACTTCTCCTCTGAATACCACCTCCACAGGAAACTGAACATGCAGTCCATGGGTTATGTTCCCACCTGAAAAAAAAACCCTCATAAGGCTCTTTCTTATTCCACTAACCTCTATTAAAAATGCAAAATATTGAGTCCAACCTTAGTGTCAATTAAACCTTACTGGTAGCTTGGTTGCTGGATTCTTACCACATACAAATACATTGACTCTCAGACCTACCTTGCATTATTCAAGGCGTAAGTTCATGTGCAAAATCAGAAGTAGAATTTTAAATGTAAGCATATTTCAAAACATAACTAAAACTCTTATTCTCTTATTCTAACACATAAGTTAGAAACTGTGAATATACTGAGTTTGATTGAACGAATTTACTTTCAAATAGTCTAAATCATCTAAATTGAATATTTTTGACAACTAATTTGCATGATCACATAGACACTTACTGCCATTGTCAGAGACCAAGAAGCCCCTGTATTTAAGATACAGTATTTAAAAATGTGTTCCTGAAGGAATTTTTATGGGATTTCTAATTCTTTGGGTCAAGCCAGCCATTTCATACCAAACTGCTTTCATCCATAAGGACTGTGATGAAATTAAATTGTGGCAGGTACCATTTGGCTGGTCCTGACTTCAGTTCTGCAAGAGTTTCCCACCCTCATTAAAATTCCATTGAACGACCTTGTATTCACACTTTCCAGCTTGCTTCAAGCAAAAGGCTGCTCATCCATCTCAGCTGCTTTGGCTCACTCAGCTGATTGCTCCTGAAGCAGGGCAATGCACAGATTAAGGAAAATTTAGGATTAGAAAAGCCAGTGAATCAGCAGAGCTCTGGGTAGCAGCCTCCAATAGAGAGATGATAAACAATCTGCTGGGAAGAAATACCTTCAAAATGGACATCTATTCACAATCTTTACAGTAAAGATGGAAAATGTTGCACCATCTGAAGTGAGAAGGACATGGAAGTTTTTAGGCAACAAACTCAGTTTCATTCGCCTCTTAGCATGAATCCACATTTAAGCAATTACCTCTCAAAAAACCCCTAATTTCAATGATATCCTGCTCCTCTCAAATTTAGACATAACAAGCTTCTATTGAAGTATTTGTCTGTAGGTTCCAATGACACCCACACAATATCTCCTCACTCTTTACCTTCTATCTCTTCCTTTCTTTCCATCACCCTCCTGAATCAATGCCAAGCCCTTGGAAATGATTGAGTCCTGCATTACATCTTAAGGTTCATCAATGTCTTGTTAGTTAAACCTTATCTCTGTTACTGCAGAGGCTCAGAAAGGATCATGAAAATAATTATATCTGTTCTGAACAATGGACTCAGCAAGGACTACAATATCCCACAAAATCAATTAATCAAGAGTAATCAACTTGGCTATCATAAAGGAAGTTATAATATCAGACTCAATGAAGAAAAAGCCAATAAATCAGAGCTGAATTTAAGCAATCTACTTTTTATGATGCAGCAGGTAAATCAAGGACACTTCCTATTTTAGGCTGACCTAATTCATTAAGCTGCCCACAAAAATATATTAATCATGCTTAAGCTCAAAGGAAGAATGAATATGAAACACAGAGCAAGCCATGGGACACCAACCATGGAGTACAGTCAAAAGCATTCTGAATAAAGTTATGTGCTGAGATACTGATGTCAAATCACAATAACAAAGTGCATTTGAGGAGCAAGAGTTACAGTCCTCTTTGACTTAAAGGAATGGCCAGTGTTAATTAATTTTCTTTTTAAAAATCAGGAACTAAAGAGCAATTAACTATTTAATGAATTAGCAGCTCATGGATTTATATATGCAAGGCTCACTGTGCTGTATGTAATATAAGGCTTGCAAGTGTTTATAGCATGAAGTTTTATAGTTGTTTTTCTTTATCTCATCAGTTTCAAACACACTCCAGATTCCATACTCCCACAAGAATTTTCAAGATGGAGTGAGGTCCATGGCTACTGGGGAAAAGGGGGGTCTTGGGCAAGCAGTCAAGGAGATACTTTCCAGAACCCACAGCTGTCAAGGGATCCTCAACAGTCCAACAAGTCTGAAATAAATGGAGGCAGTCCAAAAGCTTTAAAAGAAAATTTTCATCCTGGGAAATTTTTCTATTTATTTCAAAAGAATTCTCCATCTGTAAAAATATTTCAGTGGGGCATTTACAACTGTAGCCACAGGAGAACCCTTTCAAGATCTTGTGGTGTGCACCACGACTTTCCCACAACTTCCTCGTGCGAATGGGAAAGCAGTGGTGCACTCCACAGGGCTGCCAGGCAGCCTCCACATGGCCCTGGTGCTGTGGAGGAGGTGAGATGAAGGAGGTGAAGCAGCCTGCACAGCTTTGCTCCAGCCTGCATCCTGGAGCAGCCTGGATTGGGAAAACCCAATCCAATCCGGATTTGGGGTTTCCGTCTGCTTCGCAAGAACAGTCCTGGGTCAGCATGCAAGAAACAGGTAAGAGAAGAGCAGAAAGCAGAAAGCACAGGGTAATGCATTCCAGCTCCTTGCCAGGCAACAGCACAGACAAATCCTGCTGCACTGAAGCAAGATTTGCATCCACACTGGAGCAGAGTCACCTCCTGCAGGTAAACAAACTTTGAGCTGCTGTTTTCTTTCAGCAATTCCTGCAAGAGAAGGTGTTTCTATGTCTTTGTGGTGTTTCCTTACAAGCCCTCCCAGTACAACACAGCCCATTTCCTCTCTCCTTCCTGCTGGCACCAGCTCTGAGCCCTGCTTAGCCGCCTGCTGTTTTACAGCCCTTCCTCTGAAGCATCACCCAGGAAGACCATGATGCTTTCTGACAGAGCATACCGAGGTGCTGAAATGAGGTGGGACTCTGCCTGTGGTTCTGAGTGTTTGAAATAAGAGATCCTGCCCACAGCTTTATCACAGACATGATCTATCTCACCACAGTGTCATGCAAACGTGCTGAGCACAGTAAAGCACAGAAAGGGGGATTAAATTTCTCTTCCAAGTGGTCTCCAAGCCCTAAGTGGTTCAGAAGATGAAATACTCCTGTAAATACGTTAAGCTGAGTTCCAGGAGAGATCTGAAGTACAAAGGCATTGGCAGAAGAAATGGAAAGGGAGAGACACAGAATATAATTAGAGGACTCTACAGGATAAAGCTATAGAGGAAAAAAAAACCCATCTATGCATGAAAGCCAAAGTACATCACAGGACAGCAGATCCACAAGGACAAATTGCTACAGAAATAAACTATGACATTTATATCAGCTGTAATCAGTAGCTCCCCTAAGCTGTGCAAGTCTATGATTTCATTCTTATTACTTCATATCTTTACTTCTTTAGAAAAATACACATTATTCATTACATGACATAATAAAGCAGAGGTTCAACTCACATAAATATGCAACCAACTCATCGACTATAATTCTTTACATTAAAAGCAAATGTGAACTCAGTACTCTTTAATCCTAAAATTCTTTCTAAAATATCTAAGGGTTCCTGAGAAGTTTTAAATCCTTGTAATTGATTCAGGTGTTAAAAATTAAAAAAAAAGTAACAAACTGTTCTTTGATGCCCTAACATAAGGAAACAGATATTTCAACAATTTTGTATTTTGAAAGTGATGTGCCATCTTTGATGTCAATAAATAGTCTGTAGACCATAGAACGTAAAGAGGAGAAGGATCAGTCCTCTCAAGAGAAAAAGAATTTCCAGAATCCTGCACATAGCAAGGTCTACTTTATAAAATCTCATACACTGTCAAAAGAAAAACCTTTCAAGACAAGAATTCATACATGCATTTTAAAGATGATCTTCTCAGCACTACAGCCAGAGAAGGCTGAGGGGGACAACTGTTTATTTTAAAGACTTCACATTGGTATTTTCAAGAAGAGCATATTAACCTCTGACTGTTAAGCTAATCATCCAGAGCACACTAAAATAAATCACAAGATTCAGAGATGTTTACAGGACTCTTGTAAACTTAACCTCCTGTATTAAAAAAAAAAAATTAAATCAAAATATGTCCCATTATCTTAGTACTGAAGTAGTATATTTGCAGTGAAATTGTGCTAAAGCTGACACATGTGCTGTCCTGGTTATACATACCGAGGAAGTGGCTGGAAGTGATCATAGGGCATGATTTCTTTAAATCCATCACTGTCAAAGAAAATAAATATTGCATCATTACTTCTCATATCCAAGACTGTACATCAAATACATACTTTTATGTGATCATGCTTGAAGTAAGCAATTCCCAATGTGAAATGCAGGAATCTTACTTCATTACACATGAGCCTTATGGTGAACCTTATGACTTGTATAATCTTACCTTTTCTGCATGGATAAAGAATTATTCACCACACAGCTTCTCTATTTCATGCCACCATAAAATATTAAATGAGCAAGCGTCCAGCAAAGAAATTTATTATCAGTGACCCTTTAGGTCTGTGTCACTTCATTAACAAAAAAATATTCACATACTTCTATCTGTAACAAAGACTGCTGAGGGACATGAGTGTCAGTGAAATAAATACATCACAAGATTAATCCTAGATAGGTTCTGAATACTGCTTAGGACCCTTCTAGAGCTGTTTGAACTGCATAGCACAGAGCAAGCATAAAGCTTTACTTCCAATGCTAGGAAATGTGGTATTATACCCAGTAGTAATTTCCTTTTCCTGACTGTATAAGCTAAATTTGCAAGGTAAAATATAATTACACCCTTTCTTTCCCCTAATTTTCCCATTCCAGCTTTGGAATATTTGGCACCCATTGCCATCAAGTATTACTGAAGTCTTTCTGCTTCATACAGTGATCAACTCTCCAGGAAAAACTCTTGAAAGTCTGCACATCTATAACTGTTAGAGGTCACTATCAACGATTATGTTCAACAGGAATGAAAGGAAATGGACAGTTTAGCTATAGGAAATGAAATCCATTGAGAGTGTTTCCTTTTCTTGCATATAACTCTAGCTCAGCCAGCTGGCATATTAATGTGAGGTTCTGGGACTTGATACTGTGATGTTATTTTAAGATCCTTTAGCACAGCCAGGAAACCTCACCAGACAATCCAAAAGTTAGTTTGAAATACTGTAGTGCAATTCAATACAATTTATGTGTACTGTAGCCTTTACAATTTGGCACTAATATCCTGTGGCGTTTGTACCAAAGGATATTTACTTGGAATGATTTTTTTCTAATGCCTAGTTTTAAAAAACCCAAACAAATAGACCCAAGCTTCAATTACTAAATTGTCAACACTACAGTACCAACGAAGAACCAAACTTTTATGGTAGGCAAATGAATAAACCAAGTTAAACCATATGAACACTTGCACTGGCTGGAGCTTCTGTCTGGCTGTTGAGATGTTCTGAACAGCAGCATCAATAAATCCAAGAGTAGGCAAACCCTCTGTCCTCCTCACACAGCCTCACAAGATCCTCACACTACTGCTGTAGTACTCAGAAACAGACAAAGCAGAATTATCCCTTTAGTAAACTGATATTTACAATATCCCTGTATAAGCAAAATCTTCTCTTCTGCAGCACTGAAGTGCCACACATCTACTGGCAGAGGTATCAGCCTTTAACAATGCAATAACCAACCAAGATTAAGTAGCCTTAAAGGTAAAAAGAATTGAAATTCAGTAAATAGAGTTCCTGCTTCCTTAATAACTGCCTGTGTCACACACAGATTTGTTTGCCATACAGACCTGGAAGGGCAGGGATCCATGTTGCATTCCTTCAGCTTGGGCTTTGGTTTCTTGTTTTCTGGGTGATAATGGCAGTAGTGGTCAGGAACAACACGCTTCAGACGAATGTCCACGCACTCAGCTGAATTGAGCTGATAACCTAGGGAAGGAGCAAAGTTAAATGTCGTTAATGGAGATAAAGTAAAACAGCCTTTTCTCCCCATAGAATTAATTTTCTGTCTTACTCTTTTTTGGTTTACTTTTAGACAAGGAAAAAGGAAATGCACAACCAAACCTTCATTTAAGGCAACTCAGCACAGCAGTTATATTAACCTGTCTTAACACTAAATGAGGTTCCAGCTCTTTATTTTACTGATTTTTTAAGTGTAGAGGCACATATATTTTCTTCTGATGCAGAAATACTTGTACTGCACCAGTTCACCTGTCAGAAAGCAAAACTATGAAGCCATATGGCTCTAGTACACGTTCCACAACATCTAACTGCCCTCCTCCAAGGAGGAATTACCAGTATGTTGGAGAGCTATATTAAACAGTCATTCATGCTAAAAGAAATAAATACTTGAGACAGAAAGCCAGAGGAATTGAAGATGGGATCCAAAAACATTGCTAAGGAACTGTAGAAAACCAAGAAATAGATTCAAGAACATTCCCGAGTTGAAGAGCCAACAAAAGAAGACTTGAACTAACTACTCAGTGAAAAACCAATAATAAAATATGTGTGGAGACTGGTTGCAAGAAAGGATCTGGGTTTTATAAACCACTAGGTTATTTTTTGGCTAAGAAAAAAAAGACTCATTCAAAAAAGCTTACTTGGACTTAAACTGAGGAGAGGAGGATGTTCTGGTATGTGCAAAGAAAAAAAGTTTTAGACCACAAGAATTAAAATCAAACCGAGTCAACAAACTAGCAGCACAAGTCCCTGTGCCTACTAAAAATGCTAAGTATCATGTGTCAGTGGCTTCAGTTGTGTGTCTCTTGGCTGATCCAAAGTGTCATCATGCATGAGAGTGATAACCATAAAGAACTAAGCAGTTCCAGTGCTCACAGCATCTATGTAATTTAGTTCTTGCAAGCACTGAAAGGACCCAGAAGAAATGTCACTTGCAAACAAGAGAAACAATTTTTAAACACTCATTCAAGCTTGACTCTGCTTTCTGAGATGCCCCTTCCAACACATGGAGATTACAGAATTAAAGACAAAAGCAACATCCAAGTGAGGAATGGCAATGCACTAATTCCAAATCTCTGTAGTGAGGAACCTTTTCTTTCACTGCCAGTACCAGATGCCAAACAGACAATCTGGACGCTAAATCCAGATAAATCTAAGATAACAGGTTAAAGCCAGGTGGCTGCAATACAACTTCCCTGCATGCCATTCCTAACACTGCTACTGTCATGACTGAGCAGCTCAGTTTTTGTGCTTCCTCAGTTCCTGTCCCCACTGAGGACTGCCAAGCCCCTCTGACAAAGGTACCAGTTTTATATCCTAGGCAAGCAGCCACAAAGCAGGGCTTTGAACACCCTGGATGGTTTCAAAGAGATTGACATGTAGCTATAATTTTCAAACCATAACAGCAGTCTGAATAAGGCTGGATTTGAGCCAATACCTTTGAAGGTAAATATCTCCCTTGGGCTAGCCAGTGTTTACATGCAGTCCTCAAAAGTAACTGTGATGCTTTATACTTCTTCCCTTGTCAGACAAGTTAAGGAAAAAAAATTATAAACACAGTGTGATGGAATCATCAGAGGATATGCATTGCCACTCAGAGCTCCAGCAAGGATCACACTTCATGAGGCCAAGTATCTCATAAGATACAGTAGTTTCCTGTGGGACTGCGTATCAGACACATGTATTGTCTGCATTTCAGATCACAGGGAGGTGCAAATGCCAAAATGGATGGTCCTTCAAAAGATCCCCAGACTCTGCTTGTACTTTAAAGATCTCTCACTCTCTTTATTCATGCCCCAAGTAACTATTTAAACCACATTTGCACTCTCCAGAAAATCCCTGTATCGCAATCACCAGGGTCCTGCTCTGTTTTCCAGGTGACCTGGGGAATGCTGGCTGAAGGGAAGCTGCTATCTGCAGTGTCAAACACTCCTCCTACCATGAGCTCACACTTTTTTTGCAGAACCAGACATGACAGGCTGTGGGCTGGGCTGGATAACCAGAATGAAGCTACACTTCATCTAAGCTGCAGGGCTTAAATCAGGAGTGGATGCTACAATACCACATGTGCTGCTCCAGCCACCATCAGGACTAAATGTCTAAAATCAGCCAATGGTACCGATAGCAGATGTTCTTTCAATTGTATTTACTTATTCTGCTTTCTGTAACTAATTCCTCAACTAAGTGTTCTGAAATTCACCCTCATGTATACTACTGAGGCCAGAAATACTTTTTCACCTCTTGATTATTCTTATTTTAAAATCTCATCATGTTTCTTTGCTTTCTTTCCCCAAATATCCACTATGAGCTGCAATTTTCCATTTTTAATTTTGTATTTTTATTTCTTAGTTAATGTTCTTACTCAAATGAACATCAGCTATGGAAAAACATGATTTCCAGTGACAACATGTAAAAACCTCTATGCTGATACCAGTTTAACCAGCCTAGCTGCTGCTCTGTCACTTATTTTGCTGAGAAATTTCCAGTGTTCAGAAAAACACAAACATCTAACCACTAAAAATGCAGAACAAAGGTTGTAAATCAGCTCCTTTGAGTCTTGAGCTGTTATCACTGCTGAAGAATTGACATTACTTACCTCCTCCACACGTCACTGTGCAGGGGAAGAACTCTGTCTGTCTCCACTGATGACTGATGGGTTGATAGAAGAAGAACTGAACCACACTCTCTTTTGATCCTGAGTACCTGGTCTGAAGAAATTTCCATTACAACACACATGTACACAGTGCTCAGCTGCTCATGCCATTTCAAAACAGAGTTCATAAATAATAGCAGTGCAGGGTAAGATGATGACAGACAAAAAACTTCTAGAAAGTTTAGAGTAGCCATCAAATTTAAGTTCCCAATAGCCAAATATTTGAATGTGCTTCGTTTTTTCAAATTATTCAAGGCATTAATGTGACCATTTGATTATCTATCCTCAAATAGCAAAGTTCGTATCTGTATTCTTTTGGTTTATCTCTTTGTTAACAAAAATTTTGAAATTTACTGCAGAAAGAAGTCTAAAAGTGATCCAAGCACACTGTCAGGCAGGTCTAGCTGCACATGGTACTGGAGATGCAAAAGGAAAACAACAGAAATTCTATTTCTACAATGTGACAGGTAAAGCCAGGCAGTCTGATAATTCTGAAACTTCTGTCACTTCCAATGGCAAAGTGTATGAGTGCCTTCCTCTGGCAGTCAAATACTGATATGCTCCTACTTATAAATATCTTGATGTGTGATGCAAGCCACTGGTATGTGTTCTGGACAGAAAAAAATTTAAAATGACTGGAAATGGTCAGTGGCTGGATGAGCAATGTCTGAGGGAGATTGGAGGTGCTGCTGGAAGCAGTGCTCAGGTTCAGTAGGTGGCAGTCTGCAATTGGGTTAGCACTGCACAGGGTCACACTGTTACTCTTCCAGCAGAATTGAAAACAAAATTCCTGGACATTTTTACCATTAAAGACCCTGTGGTATTTTGCATCACAGGAAAGACATTAATCACATAACATTTTAATTTATTTGGATTTTCTTGGCATAAATGATCTCTGGACTGTAATTAGGATTTCTATCTTGCTAGCTAGAAGACTTTGCTGTATTGCTACAAGCTGATGGACAGCCACTACTGTACTTGCAATAACTTTGTAGATTTGTTCATTCACACACCCCACCTTGATAATGAAATCAGCTCCAAGAGGTCCCTGGATCTTTATGAATTCCCTCTCTGTGCTCTTCTGAAATTCAACAGTTGTATTTTCAATGACAAATGTTCCAGGTGCATTGAAACTGTGCTCTCCCTTTTCTCCTTGTAGTGTTTTTGACTCTATAACTAAAGAAGAAACATGCCATTAGTAAACTTAAACAGCTTTTTGTTTTCAAGAAAGTCAGAAAGTAATGTTTACAACTTTGCCTTGCAAGTGCCAGCTGCATATGTGCAGTAAAAACACACCCAGAGAAGCTGTGAGAATATTAACTGCTTCAGATTATAGGCTGATAGATAATTGCAAGACAAGTCAACACAGGAACATCTGTCTGAACACACTATTCTTTCATACCAAAATTCTGAGACAGTTTTTCCTACACCAAGTGCTCAGTAACACTTGATATAGCAATAGCTTGAGCAGGGAAAGCTGAAAGAAACTCAAAGTTGATAGAATCAATATAGAGAAAAATACCTCATACTTCCATGCAATTCAAAAGCCAAGCAATCTGAGCAATCAGTCTCCAGAGAAGCCTGAGTGGTGCCAAACCCACCTGACACTCACCTCAATACCTGAATCACTGCCCCAAGATCCCTAACTCAGCTCTGAGCATTTCCCAAGGGAGGAAGGAGCAGGGCCAGGAGGTGGGCAGCTGCAGGGACGGCCCTTCCCACAACAGCTGGCGATGAAAACCCTTTCTGAATTGTTCTCCACTCCTTGGAAACAGATTAAACTAACAGCCCACAGCCTCCAGAAGACAGATGAAGCATTTTAAGATTAAATCACTTCCAGAAAGCTGACTGAACTGTAAGTGGACAAAGCTAAAGGAAGATATTCATAACCAAGGTAGAATTCTGGGCTCTGTGTAGTACAGCACACAGGCACAGCAAAATGCATGACTTGAAATACCCTGGTCTGGTTACAATCTACCAGAGCACTGCATGAGAAAAGCATGAATCTCAGATGAGCTCAGGCCAAGCTAAAAGGAATCTTTTGATGAGCTATAAATACCCTCTTTCTCCTACTACCTTGCCTTTTTTGGTACTTTAAACAAAGTTACCTAAGTCAGGCTAGATCATTTAGGTTAAAAGCATCTGGTTTTACCTGCGCTGAAAACATACTCTGAATGCTGAAACCCATCATTAACTGTTTTCTTCCTTCATATTTTTTAAACAAATAGGCATTCCTGGAGCACTCCAACAAAGAGAATAAAGAAATTATAGAATTAATTAAATTCCTTGAAAACATACCACCATTATCCCAAGCTTCTAAGCATTAGGTTCCACTGTGCTCATAGGTATAACAAAGATCACATACATGGCTGGAAGGAAGTTTCAGGAAGGATTTGTTTCTAGGAAATGACTTTATGTTAATCACAGGGTATGAATGTAGTGGTGAATAAAATGTACTTTGTCAAAGAGAAAACATAAATCTCTGGGAATCAGTGTGCCCCACTGTCCAACACATTTCCATTAGGAACAAATAGATATAAACTAATCCTAGAAAAAACCAAGCATTCAGATGATTACTACATATTTCTGTTTGTCACTTTTGTGGAGTTTTCCTGTCCTGATTGCATTACAAAATAACCCTTTAAAATATATGGAACTCAGAATTCTTGGTTCAGGCTTCTGCAAGCATGGATCCCAAACTTCATGCTTAAATCACAAACACTGCTTAAAAGTAAGTAATAATGCATGGTGCCTGTTATTGTCTCATTTTTTGAAATAAGTGTAAAATCAAATCTTAAGTACTTCCAACCCAAAATAAATTCAGTAAGATGCTCAGGAGTCCAGGATCCTTTTGAAACTAGCATTTAAGACATTACAATCCACCTGGTGCAAAAAGATGATGAAAATTTTTATTTGGTGACATCAGCTGCATTTCTGAACAGTCTTTTTACTATTTTTTTAAATAAAAAACCATTTTTGATGTTTTTCCAAGCAGAAACCAAGAATACTGTTCAGCAACCAACAAGACATTAACTCCCAGAGAGCTGACATATTTACATTAGAGCTACACTTGATGTGGATGCAAATAATGTGGTTTTTTGAAAGGTGCAGTTATGGAGCCATGGTCTGTATCTCTGGAGGTGACACCACTGACCCCAGAAGAGCTGCTCAGATTTTTCCTGTGTCACACGGAGATGAGGAGATATCCCACAGCACAATGGATAACCTCTGGTGCAATGCAATTCCTGCTCAGTAATACCTAGTGCTTGTCATCACAGGCTGACAAAACAGAGAGACACCAAGCATTTGGTGTATTTAACACATACATAACATAATTAGGCTTATTGGGGAGAAATTCCTCCCTCAAAAACTGTTCATTTATTGATTTCAGAGAAGTAATTGAGAACACAGGTTTGATCAGCTGGTTTCATGACAAGAAAAGAATTCACCAAATGTTTCCTTGTTCTGCAGAGTCCTTTTATAGAACAGACCTGGGAAGTTTGACTTCAGGAGGAAGCTTCCCCATCCTAAATCAATTCCTTGACACTCCAGATGTGAAGAGTCACATGGACAGGGAAGTCTCTTGAGTGCTCACCTGTTTCTGTGCCTAGCAAGACAACCACCAGTGCCAAAGATCCATAACTATCTGTGTTTAGTTACTTTCCCTCCGTTGACAAAAGTGGCAAATGCCTTGCCCAGCTGTGGGCAGAATCCCCCCATTGTCCCAGTGGCAGGAAGGAGCAGGGCAGTGAGGCACAGAAAACCCTCTGCAGGTTCCTCCCTGTGCATGAAGGAGTTCCCAGGGAAGCTGCTCCTGCTCCCAGTGCAATAAAGAGCAAGTATGGTGCTGCCCAAAAGCTGCTTCTTTTCTGTGATTCATTTGTAGGTAGCACAAAAACAAAACATTCTTCTCAAAATGCAAGAAAAGCAACACTGCATTCCTCTAAGCATCTGTCAAAGGCAGAGCAGTGCACAAACCCACTGCTAAAGGCTGGCACATGATGCAAATCTCTGTGAGCAGAGAAAAAATTGACAAAAAGAAAAACATTTCAGTTCCTTTCAGTAACGTTTAACCTCCCCAAGTTCACGAACTCAGTTATCTAGCATTAGCCACTTGTAAAAATATTAGCTTCTGGTTTTCCTGTTTCTTCTGCTGGAGGATTAATTTCAGGGAACTTTCAGTCTTACTTTTGATTCTAATGCTCTTAAAACAACTACTAGAAAAGCCATGATGCAGTCCAAATCAAAAACAAAGCCAACACAATGAAACATTTTATTCAGACCCATTTTTGTGCTAATTACTTGGTTATTTTCCACCAAATCTTTCACCAAACCCTAGCAGGCAGAAATACAGAGGGGCCATATTTGTTAAAAACCCAGAGTTGCATGTTGATCAATCTGCTGCCTGTTTGAGTGCCCAGAAACACAAACAAAGCACTTATTCTAACCAGCTACAAAGAAAAGCAGTCCTTGCTCAAACACTAACTGCAGGTTGCAAAACAATGCTCAGAGCATTTGTTCTAAATCTGTTACGTGCTACATCTCCAACCACATTTCCATTTTTGATTAGTCCAGCAGCTGTGCTTTCCTGGAACAAGACCAGATCATAAACCCAGGATGAAGCCCCACTGAACACAAGATAAAGGGAAAAGTGCCAGACACTCCACAGTGCTCTTCAAGTCTTTGCTATTGCTGCTGACTCCACTTGAAGGACAAATATATACTGGCAACAGGAGGCGGTATAAAACTTTAACAATAAGTAGTCCCTGCTTCACCTGTTAAATTCAACTCATTGCAAGCCAGGAAAAATATCTCTGACAAATGGAACCTGTAATAGTAGATGTTTGGGTTTTTTTTTCATTCTGGCTTTAATTCTACCAGCACACCCACACAAAAGTTGATGAATTTGCAGCAAGGGATCATTTGGTATCTTCTGTTAAGTGACAAACACCCAGGAACATGTACAGTGGGAGGGTGGAGAAGCACCTCTGGGGTATCAGCTCTTGGAGACCTGGCTATGAAGCCAGAAGCAATTCTCACTTCCTTCCCCACAACGGCTCTCAGTTGTTTTTTACCTCTGCAATTTTAATTTTAGGTAAAAAATGTCTAAATCCTTGCAGATTTGCAAACAGATGTGCTGGTGGAAGTGGTTAAGGGAACATTTCACAATTCCTGTCCAGCTAGAGAGTGAACTAACAAAGGTGATGCCAAGCCACAGCTTCTTTAGAGAACCACCCTGGGTAGGAAGCCAGGAGCACTCTGTACTCAGTTACTGAGCTGCTGCTGCATTCCTCAGGAGCTTTCCAGAAATCCCCCAAGAGCCACTCAATCTAGTACTTTTTCCTCATACAAAGCTGAAACAACAACTTCCTTCTGCAGAACTACTTAACAAAGTCCAAGAGTCCTGACCTGAACTGGTCAGGATCACTCCTTCACACATCCCCTCAACAGTTTTAAAGAAATATTATTTATTTCAATATAACTTCAGCCTTGTACTTTTTTTAATATAAATAGTATATCTAGAAGTTATTGAGCTATATATGGAGCTGTTCTGAAGAGGGAGTTTTTATTTCCATTTTTTTCTTTGAAAGAATGTGATAATATATTTTGGAAAAGCAAACAAACTGATGAGCAATTTTCAAATAGAAAGTGTTTTTTACTTCTGTTTACATATCTCAGAGCTTTAGGTTTGGTTTTTTTTTTTTTTTTTCTATGATCCAGACCACATCTGGATAAAAAATTGTTCAAAGTTAAATTAATATTTTATCTCATTGCTTGGTATGGCAGCACCACTTACCATTGAAACCATCAATTCTCTAGGCAAACTAGGCTTACGGATAAGAAAGTTGCCATAAATACTGCCTCAGCTTTATAAGAAAATATTGGAAACAATTGTCTTACAGAAGAACAAACTGTTTCTCATTGGTGGTGTGCAATGACTAAAGGAATTACATGGAAGCAAGACTTCTGTAGTCATTCACCCAACTTCATTTGGACCTCAGTCGCTTGTCAGAGGCTTCAACAGAAATCTGGTGCTGAGTTATGCAAGGATTATTGGTTCCACACACAATCCTCTGGAAGTTGTTGTTGTGTGTGTTGTTTAAGAATGTACTGTACTTCAGATGCCTTATATTAGTTTAAATGGAAGGAATAGAAACCACCTCTATGTATTCTATTTCTCTTTACCAAGTAAACTTTCCAGTGTTCTCTAGGATTATCTCCAGGCTGGATATTAAAGATGGGAAAAGGAATCAAGACATCGAGGTCATGATCTTATCCATATTTTCCAAAGTTTGGATGAGTTCAGATACAAGGTTGTGTTTTTATCTTCTGCCTATGTATAAATACATAAAACAGTCATACCAAGGTGTGCTGGTCCTTTCAGGGTGATTCTCACACTGCGACTCCCATGTGGTACAGCAATCACAGTTTCTTCCCCTAAAAACATCAAAGAACTGTTTTAGAAATTATCTTTCATCAGGGAATTTGTACATCACATAATTAGACTGAAAATGCTCAAATGTGTCTAAGAAAATATTTCACACCTTTCACAGTTTTTCTATTAAAAATACTATGTTATTTTATTAAGTACAGTGTACTGAGTCTGTTTGATATGTCATGCAACTATTAAGACCTATAAATGGACTTGTAAATCTTGCTTTCTCTTGGTAAATAATTTGCTATTAACAATAACAACTGAAATGTCAGTAGTGTATTAGAAACATATTTACACTCTGTTGTCCTAGTTGTATTTTCTAATCACTGAATTGACATAAGGAATCTGCTAAGTAGTCCTTCCCCCTTACAAAAACCTGCAGCTGTTCAGTCTCATTTTGCCCACACCTCATTTCCTGCTGCAGGTCACAACTTTAATAAGTGGCAGGACTTACAGGAAATAAATCATCTACTTAACACTAACCCTTAACCAATTACAGACCAGTTAAGAGCAAATATATAATAGCTATAAGGTACATGTTATAAGGGTGTCTGCATCTAACTTACCATATAAGATCATTTCTTCCAGTAAGAGGCTCAGTTTAAAATGAACTATAAACCAAACCAGCCCCCAACAGGACATATCAATACAAAACAGCTTTTGGCTGCCTGAAAGGCCTCTCCATATATAAATGTGCAACACACTTACTTCAGTGCATTTTACAAAGGCAGAAAGTTATTACTTCTCATTTCAAATGTAGGAAATCTGTGATTTGCCCAAGCAAACCAAGTTACCGGTCAAACCAACACGCTAGAGACCCTCATGCCAACACAAGCAGTGCTCTCAGGAAAGGGATATCCACAGGGATATCCACAAAAGGGAGAGAGCAGCATCCCAGGAGCCGTCACCCATTTCCATCGTGGCCCAACTGCATCCCTTCTGCAAGGCAGTCCCTGCCACACGTGCCCTGTGCAGCTGCACCCTGCACAAGATGCTCTGCTTGGTGATGAAACTAATGCACATTCAGTGGCTGCTGCAGAGGAAGTTCCTTTTTGCAGATTCAAAATGAAATGTGTGTTGAAAGTCAGTGATACACCGGCTCCAGAATTACCCATAAAATATTTAGAGGAAGAATAGTTGAGTTTGACTAAAAAAATAGTTTAAAAAGGTTTCTTTCCACTTCAAACTGGACCCCTTTATAGTAGATGCTAAATTATCAGCTTCTGGTTTACATCTCCTTAGCATAAGTATGATTTCCTGCCAAATGTTCAGAATACTTCAAGCAAATATTGCAATTATTTTTTCTGAAATAAACACCTTCTTATGTTACAGTTTTTATATCGTCAATTTCTAGGAAGGACATTTAAATATAACAATTTATTTTGGATGTAATAAAATATGAGCTTTATTAATTTCATTCTTGTGTATTCCACCAGAGTGAAAAATACTACAGTAAAACAATAATACAACTAAGGAGTCCTGGAAAAAACATTAACTACCGAACCACTTAATATCTTTTTGCATCTTGGTTTTTCATCAGAGGAATTGCTAAAGATAGCCAGGAGGTAGTGGGTGTGTATATCTTTAAAGTAAGGAAACAACTACTGAATTCACATGTGCTCGACAGTATTTGAGAGAAAGCAGGTTTGAGGGGCCCATCTGTGCTTACTTGGTGGGGAATTGAATCCCATCCTGATAACAACCAAGGTCAGACAGCACAAAACCTCCATAAAGTCAGATGATGGCCAGTTCAGAATGCATGACCCGCTGCTCTGAAGTGGAGCTGAGGGCAGCCCGTGCTGCAGGGCCACAGGCTGGCTTTGCAGATGTGCACAGATGTGCAGCACTGCTCCTTGGAGAGCAGCAGGGTCGATCTGCTGAGCTGCACCTCCCCACAGGCAGACCCTGCAGATCCCTTTCCAGGATGCCTCACATTCCTTTTGCAGTACTACAGACATTCCACCCTCACCCAAGCACTCTCTGATATGGTCCAAAAGTCTCATGGGGGTGCTAAATTTGGTGTTTCTCTGCGGCAGAGACAATATTAGCAGAAAGTGTTTTATTTGCATTAGGGATGGCTGAGCTCACCGCCGCAGCAGCAGGCAGCCTCTGCAGCCCACAGACCTGTCAAGAAGTCTGACAGCAGGAGATTTTTGTAACCTGACTGAGATGATCATGACCTAGGGCAGTCTTTCCTTGAGATGAAGTAAATTACAGGAAAAAATAAATGTGAGGTTTTTGGACTTCTGAACAGAGATGAGGGTTTGGAAAAAATGGGACAGAACTGACCATAAGGGTCAGTTCTTTCTCCTAAGGACAGCTTTGAAACAATAGTTAAGGTTGTCCAGATCTGCCTCCTAAAAATTATATATTCCAAAGGTTTCTGGTTCTCAGTTGAATGTAATTCATATTCTTAAAGAAACACAAGGCTCTGTAAACCCATTTAAAATGGTTATGCTGTACAATTCCCATTAAATCAGTAGGGTCCACACTGCTAAAAGCAGTGAACTCTTACAAAAACATGAGGGGAAATTGCTACCCTGAAATCCATACCGAGAATTTTTGATTACATTTTTTCCCCCTTACAGTATTTCTTTGATAGTTAATTGCTGACCTTTGTCTACAGATGAAAACAAATTACCCCAAATAATCTGGAACATGCAGAAACACCAGACTCCAACATATGAGGTCAGATTAAGGCTCACCTTAAAAACTGAGAAGCAGGTGAGATATTGTGTCTCTATTCTAGCACTGCTTTCAGGACAGGCATTCCCAGCAGCACATGGAGCCATCTCCCTCCACTCTCACCCAGACACTCTCTCAGAAAATGTGTGCCCACAACACAGCACTTGCTGATTAAGCTCCTGGATTACTTTCACTTTAGATGTCAAGGTTTGATCCTGTTTCTATGGTGTTAATGTGGATTTAGATTTTGGATCTCAATGAGAGCAAGATCAGACTCCCTGCTATGGTAAGACTGGGAGCTAATCCCCAGGATCAAAATAAAGGAGCCACATTCCTAAACTCAATCCAATTCAGCAGGTTTTATTTATTTTTCCATGTGGGCCATGGTGGACCCATTTACTGTTTCACATATGGGCCAGTTGGGATTTTTCCCCTCTCTCCTCTTATAGCAGGCCAGAGGTTTATTTCAGGTCTATAAAATGTGTTTCTTTCTATGTATTTGCTCAGAACTTATTTGCTGGCTCCCTGGTTCTGATCGATGACCTTTGTGCTCTCAAAATACAAGGAGGAACAACTACAGCACACAGCAACTAAAAATCTCAAAATATTTGGAACCTTATTGCAGTGGCTTCCCTCATCCACTCTGGCATCAGGCATAATTCCACAAGGCATTTCTGCTGGGCTTTGTGCTGACCTGCCTAATGAAAGCAAACCCAAATACATGCACTGGAGAAAACATAAAAGACATGTAGTAAACAGCCCCTCAAGAGAATGGATCTTAAGGAAATGCAGTACAAAACGAGTCATGAAATAGCCAATGTTCTTACTAAGAAATTTCTTCAAGACAAAAGGGACCATGAAAATACAGAAGGAGGCTTCATACTATCTGTAACAGCCTCAAGTAAACCAACCAAAGTAAAGGGATGTCCAGACTGAACCAGTTGGTGCTGGTTCACCCAGCATCCACACTGCAAAACTGCAGGTGCCTTGTTGGGACCAATTCTAGTCTGATTCCATGGACTGGATATCCTGTAGCTGCTGGAGAACACCAGGTGTTTTTCTGGGACACATCTTCTGGTTTAGCTTCATCCAAAAATTCCAATTTATGCTTTCCAAGACAACTCTGTGATTTGAACTGATGACCAGTATGTTAGGACCATCATGAAAATTGCTTCAAAAAATGTGCTCCTTTATCCATACTGGAACACTAATGCATTGGCATCCTATCCCTCCCCACACACAGCTTTCCTGCCAGACCAGTCCCAATTCCCTCTTCTGGCTCTACAGATAGTTGATTTTTCCCCTTCCTCTCCAAGTGTTTTTGACTCCATCTCCCACCCAGATTCCTTATCTAATCTCAGTCTTCTCTTCCTCTTTCCTTGACTCTGTGTGTCTGTACAGCCAGTCCCACATCCTCCACCCACCTTCTCACATCTGCCTTTCCTTCACTGCATGAACTAATGGCAAATATTCCTGTTTAGCTCATCTCATCTCTCCCTCTTCTCATGTGATCTCATAATTCCCTGTCATAAGTCTGAAGCTCAGGAGATTGGAAGCTCTCCAAAAAATCTCTTCTGAATGCCTGAATGTGAGGTAGGAGGCATCAAAGAGCTCATCCTGTGGCACCTGGTCCACACTGCAGTAAAGCAGAAAGCAAGAGCAACCTCAAGGAAAAATTTTAATAGCTTATTTCTGGAAGAGCAACATGTATTCTAAGGAGGCTCCACACATGCAATCTGTTTGCAGTCAGAACTTGTAACAAGCTAGAGAACACTTAAAAGGATAAGTTTTCAGAAATTTCAGCCGTTAACATCCCAGAAGATTCCACTGAAACTGAAGGAAAAAGTTGGGGATTTTTTGTAAAGGTTGTAGTAAAATATGTGTTGATGTTCACAGACATTGCAAAAGACTTATCCATGACCAGAAGATCATTGCCTGCCAAATTTCAAATCCCTGACCTGTGATCAAGTCCAACAATGGGGGGATTTTAAGACATATTAAATAAAAGGTTTCAAGAATGTTTTGACAGTGGGAAACAACATGTTTTTCTCTTCTGTGTCCTTGGAATATGCTGAGCTGTTTTGGCTGAATTTTCTCCAAAACACATAGCACCTGGCATGAGAAGTTACTGACACAACTGTCTAATTTTGGAAAATAATCCTTCATATAAAATGAAGTATCAGGCAACCTTGACAATTGGGGTTGCTAGTTCCATGTATATTTATTTCAAAGAGGGAAAAATAACGTGAGGCAAGAAGTTGTCACAAACTTGAGCTGGCTGATGACACAGAAGAGGGAGTTGTGCCAAAGGTCTCTGTTTAGATAAATGACCAAAGTGAAATTAGGTTTTTGGTTAAGCATGCCTGGAGATGATGGCATACATCATGTGAGAGGAAGGGACCAATGATATATTACAAAGTGCCATAGGAAATAAAGCACATGGCAAAAGGAAATTCAAGCAGTTACAAAGCCATCACCAGTGAAAGCTTTTATAAGAAGCTCTTCAGCAAAACCTCAAGAAAGGCAAATCTTGCAAGTATCTTGTAGTTTGGGAATCAAATAAAACCAGATTGGGACAAGTCCACACCTTCAACTTCACCCCCCGCTGAACCAGCATCTTGTCTTCTGTGTTGGTATCAGGATCAGAACATTTTTCTACCATTTCTGCCAACAATGGTGCAGAAAGGAGATATGAGGGTCCAATCCTACCATTTTTCCATGTGCACAAAGCACAGTAGAGTTAATGGGAGTTCCATGCATTTAGTACTAGAAACTTCAGGCCCATGATATCTCATTTCCCAGTGGGATGGTACATTTTACAACCTATTACACTTTTTGTTTGAATATCGTTAGTCAAACCTTTAATCATTTTACCAGAATGTTAGAATCTGGCTTGCTGACAGAAGTTTAACTTACTTTGTCTTTCAGAGGCAATTAAGTGTTAGTGGAAAAAAATAAACTTTTGAAATAATTGTTCCTTTCATATTTGCAAAACAGTAAGCTCCCTTTCGCTGCTGTTTAACTTTCTGATCAAAGACATTAATTTAATGCAAAAACATATAAAAAAGATAATAAAACAAAATTAGTCCTTCATGAGAAATCATTTGCTATCAATGCCTAAATTTCTTTGTTTTAAAATTAGATAAAAAATAATAAGCCCCTAAAAAAAATAAGGGCTAAGATAACCAAGCACTTTATTTTCCCTTATGCCTCTTTTTCATACTGAAATCTTTGGCTCTTGCTTTCCTTCCAGTTTTTTAATTTGCTTCATTGAACAGTAAAATTTACATCCTGCTCACAGCCTTAAGCTCCCTCCTAAATACATTTCTGTCATGTGTCGATATTTTCTCAAGACTATTCTGAAAGCTTCCAAATGACTCTTTGGAAGATAATGTGCCTCCCTCCACTGACATTTTACCACAAAGAAAGGATGGCTTTATTTCCACATTTCATTCACACACAGGATGATTATATGGAACTCATTGCATAGTGCTGAACAACTTGACCCAAAATATATTTTGGCACCATCACAATAACCAAGAAAAACATCAAGTTCTGAATTTAGTATCATGTGGACTGTTTTGCTTATGCCAGTGGTAATTCATTCATATCATCCAGCCTACTGCAGTGCAAGATAAACCCAAAACTTGGCAAAACTGACATCTTTCCTCAGAATAGTCTTTCTTGGTCTTTAATTTTAAAGGGCTCTTAAGGAGACACTGAGTTATAACAGAGGAAACGATGAACTATAGGCATTCTTCAGAACCTTCAAGGCAATGGGAGAGCTTCCACCAAGTGATGTCAGCTCCAGTCAGCTCTTACCTGAGCCAGAGCACCACAAGTGAAATTAATATTTTCTGTCATAAAATGACAGTTTCAAAGCCAGATCCCTTTTACCCCTTTGTTTTTACTGTACTTCCACCCTAAGCAGCAATTAAATGTGAAACTTTTTATTTCACTTATCCTGAGCTATCCAATCACAGTCACCAATCCAAAAAGTGTATTTGGGCTGCCTTAGAACCAGCTATGGTGTCCCCAGGGATCATCCTTCCCCAGGAGAATCTCTGGTGCTGTAAAGCTGGAATAAAAAACACAAACATCTTCAATTCCAGCTGACCTTCCCATCAGAAAGGGAAAACTTTGCCCGCATATCAAAATATTCAGACACTTCAGATTCCAGCAAAAGGTCTAATTCCAATACCCTTCTTCTTCTATATTTTGTATTTTATATTTTCAATGTTACTGAGACCTACAGAGTTACTGCCAGTAAGGTGCTCATTATTTTGAGAAAGAATGGTGGAATTTGAGCCAAACACACAAAAAAGAGATGGAAGTATTAGTCCCTTTCACTTTGTGCTTTTTGTACCATACAAGTAGTAACTTGTCCCTGAAGTTCAACTGTCATAGGACATCACAAAAAAACCCACCAAAAAAAAAAATTAAAAATCAAAGATAATTTGAAAACCAGGGACTTACAAGCACAGGCCACTATTTCCATAAAACCATCTATAAGATGTTTCCATGGATTGCTGCAGCATCACATATACTGCAACATGAGGATACCCTCTAAAATAAGATGTGCATCTTGATGGTTATTCCTGATAGAATGAATTGAGTAGCTCTATTAAAAAAAAATGCATATCTCAAATTCTTTCCTAGCTGTATCCTAATGTGTGGTATCCCTCACGGAATTTCAGCAGACTAATCTAGCACAGACTTCAGAATAAGTAGCTTTGCAAAACTGCAAACAAGTATCTGGCTAAGAGGTCACTGCAATATACATGCTGATATACAAGAAGAAAACACAGTGAAGGATAAATCACCACAGGATCAATTTGCAACCTACTTTTTTCTGGTGAGACGTGTGCCTTAGCCTGTCCCCTCACCAGCCTGCACGTGGAGCCATCTCCTGCACAGATCCCACAGTTGTCTTCCTTGGCGTTGCTCCCGAGTTGCCGATCGCAGCCCACTGCCTGCCAACAACAGCACAGTCACAAGGAGGGCAGAGCTGCAGCAGACATGCTCAGGTTTCTGGAATTTTATTTATTATGTTATCCTTTTGATTTTATGAGTTGGCCTCATTCTATCAAAGCATATCTTGCCATTTAGGATTTTAAAAGCATGCTGTCATTTCCATGATTTTAATGATGAACCACAACAACTGATACATGAAGCTATTCAAGCATAGGAAATACATGAATCTGTTTCCCACTACTTATGTGAATGAATACCATTGAGCATTATTCTTTCCAAGACAAGGCATAGCTAAGTTATTTACAATTTGGTTTTCATCACCTGTTTAATTATGTCTGAGAAAGGATAAATGCAATTAAATAATCCAAGTTAAAAATTTAAAGGGCACTCAGACCTCATCTTCATAGACAGAGAGTTGAGGGCAGTACTAACATTCTAGTGTCTGGGCCATCCAGAATTTAACTGGCACTTGTGTAGATCTATTTGCCATTTACATCAATATCAATTACATATACATTTGTTAACCAGCTTTTAAAAAACTTGGACGATTCACTTCTCACCTTTGGATTTTTTCTGGATTATGAATATAAGACCCATTCTATAAAACTTTCCAAAGATTATTATAAAAACACCCAAACTTAAACACTGCCAAAAATTCAAAAAGCAATTTAAAAAAAAACCCTGTCAACTGAAAACCCTCCAAATTATAATGAAAACATTTTTCCAGGTTTTTCTTTTTCTGCATATCAGTCAACTCCACAAGAAAGATGAGAATGGAAAGAGAAGGCATAGACAAAAATTGACTAAAAGCAGCTTCCTGATGAATGGAAGATAAATATTTGGCCTCACCTATCTTACTCTTAACCATTGCATAGAAGAGTCTTTCAGGGAGTACCAAGTGTTGAACAATGTGGTAAAAAGCTGATCTCCAGCTTCAAGTTTTCTCAAGTCAGCCTACCTGGCTCTTACATTCACATACCCCTGAGAAGGGCAGCTAATTTGTCATGGGTGTGTCTATATTTAACAAAAATCCAAACTGACAAACGGTTCGAAAACCCTCTGGAAACTCAGAGTTAAAAGCAGTGCTAGAACTCTGAAAGTGGCCAGCACACGCCTCTTCCTATATAAAAATGCTTGGAAGGGGCAGTGTCAGCTGCCAAGATCCTGGATCTGTGCTGTGCCAGAGCTGACACACGATCCCCTTGGAGAGGTGAGGATCCAGTCCACACGTAAGAGGCAGGGCTGAGTCAACACACACACACAGACACACAAATCACACACATCCACTGCCAAACACGGAGAAATGCAATCTCAAAGTCTCACATGTCTGTGGAAAAGAAAACAAAGCAGCCCCACCTCCCCCTTCAGCCCCTCTCCCTTATTTCCCCAATTCCTTTCAACCTGAATTCCCATTAGAGGAGGGCATTAATGGGGACAGTTTACAGTCCTTTCCTTGAGAGACCTGCAAGGAAGGCATCTTCTCCCCAAGGGCTTCAGATTTTCCAGAGAAACCTACATTAGCAGCAGGAAATTATTTTATTCCTGCAATTGAAGGAGTCCTTAATTCTAGCCCAGCAAGGAATTAATTTTAAAAATAAATAAGGCACTTAACACTAACAGTAAATCATTTGGGTTTTAACAAAAACTTAGTTGTAAAAATAAAGCAAATATACACGTGTGAACTCAGACGATCTCAGAACAGGTGCTTATTTACCACACATGAGGCATGTGGGAACACTGTGCTGTAATTTAGGCATGGATTACAGATTAAAGGATTTGCACCTGAAGTTGTCTTTAGAATTAGCTCTGGGCTCATTATTGACACCCAGAAAAACATAAAAAGGTTGTAAGCAAATGACTATAAACAAGTCTATCTTCACATTTTATAAACAATTAACATTGAGAAATGAATGAAAACATCGTTTAAGGAACTGACTGGGCCACTCCATGAATCAGAAAGCAGATGAAACTTTATGGGATATAATAGTAATGTGCTCCACAGACACATTTGCCTCAGCATTGACAACTCTTTCAGTTCCCAGCTCCACAACAGAATTTCTTTTCTGACCCTTGAAAATTCCTATGCTTTTCCATTCCAATCCATGGAAGAGATCTAACTGCAGAACCTCAGCTGACAGAGCTGTTGCAAGAATTAATCTCCTAAAGTTTGTGATGCATGCAGATGGTGCAGTGATGGAGACCATACCAGAGGCTGAGAGAGTCTATATTTCTCTTTGGAAGACTTTTAAAGTTATCACTGTTTGGAAGACTTTTGAAGTTACTACTGTTCTCCACTGATCCTCCTGCCCTTATAAAGATACTAGTAGAACATGGAGGTAAGTTGCAAGTTAATCTTTCCACAGATATCTCTAATACATCTCTGTTTCATACTGAAATCTCCTTTTCTATATATTAAAAACCATTTATTCACTCATCAATTAATTTCAAAGGAAAAAATAAGCTGCATATTGCAACACCCTGTGTGGAAAAGTGCTATTTTTCTTAGTTTAAGCTCTTTTATATTTGCAGGCTACAGATGCTGCAGGTCTTTAGTGGGAGGAGGGCACTGAGCAAGCAGAGCAGGACCAGCCCATTAGAGCCCAACATGACAATAACAAACATCCAGCCTGGGCTCTTCCACAGAGCCCCTGTGAAAACAAACTCCCACTGGGTGTAACAAAAATCACACAACTGTGCAAACACAAGGCATTATTGTGTCCTACGCAGAATGTACAAAAAGATAATCAGCACAGCAGCACGCTTTGGAGGGCTGTTTCATATAGTATTATTGCTTATTTTTTAATAATACAGAAATGCCACAGAAATAAAACAGGAGTGCTAGTTGCAAGGGACCTGGATGTGGGAAAAGGTTTACAGCTCCCCTGACAGCAAAGGTGGTGTGTTCAGCTAGAGGCATTCACCCTCTGCAGATTTCCTTCCCAGATCATGTTTGCATCAGCTGTTACAAATATGAATAGCAAGCAATGATATCTGGGAACACAATTTAGAAAACAACTCAAATTATAATCACAATTTCGACTTGGAGTGAGCATAGAATCCCATATTTTGTTTAACATGAGGGACCCAAAAATGTCACAGGTTTTTTAAGAGACAAGCCACAAATTTAGAGCTAATTCAAGAAGGAATCTTAATGAATGAACACTGGGTTGGGACATATTTCAAACCTCAGAGTCTAGACCCCGCCTTTTTTATCTGTTTGCAACCCTTGATCAGGTATGTCTCAGGTGAGCTGAACAGCCACAGATCTCACCAGAAGAGGAAGCTGTAAGGTACAGACTTGGAAACAGGTTCTCAAAAGCATATGGCATTGTGACACAAAATATTATGAATGTAAGGTATTCTTATTTCAGCCAATAACTACTGAAGAGGAAAAAAAAGTGTTCGATGAAACATTTTGATGACAGTAAATTTGGTTATTTGCAAATAAAGCTGCAACAAGGACAAGAAAATGATAAATGGCAGTAGCCTTCCTCCATCTCAGCCAGCCAGAGAGGCTGATGATTTTCACAATTACGGCATTTTGTGGGGTTGATTTACCCCACATTGCTTGCTGTTTACAGAGCAAAGGGATCAGCTGTAAATATTACAGGCAGACTGGGAAAACATCTGCAGGCTTTTAGGGCATAGTCAGAAATAATATTAGGTGATTTTAACATAGGCTGAATAAATGAAACAAGTGATAACACAAACTGTGTAACGGAAGGGTTGGGATCCAGTGAATTTAAGAAATTTGTAATCATAAATATCATCATCCCAAAAAATGATACAGGTACTGTAATGACCAGGTTGCAATTGAGCTCCTCAGACAGCAGAGAGAGTATTCACCAATATGTAACAAAACAAACAGCAAGTAGAAATTCAATATAAGAAGAGTATTGGGGAAACAAGCAGTTTGTGAATTTATAAAATTGTCCATGGTGGGGTACAAATGAATTTGGATATGGCAGGTTTATTTTCAGAAACAGGCCTCCAATCCATTAATATTTTCGGACAGAACATGAATAAGTTACTTGTCTGTTCTCACAAAGGGGAAAAAAAAAAAGAAAGATTAAAAAGAACTATATAGTTTACAGAATTATGTATACTTTTCTCACAAGCAGCTCAGATAGAAAGCATCTGCTTAAGCAGTGAACAAAACCCCTCATCTGTTCCAACAAACCTTAGCATGGCAGTGCTGTTGTGAAAGACAATCCTGAAGGGTGTTAAATACTTTGGAGCATGCTTAGAATAGCTCATGCAGGTTCAGAAAGGCAAAGGAAGAGCAAAAGGTCAGGGTATAAAATACAGCAATATGGATGAAAGAGAAGAATGAAATCACTGCTGATATGTTAAACGTGACTACGGAACATTAAAAATATTTTTGCAAATGTGAATCCAAAAATCACTCAGAAGCTCATGTAAAGCTGTTTCTTTAGGTCATATTCAATTAGAAGTGTTTCAGCTGAGGAATTGGACTTAAACAAAGAAATTAATGTAGCATGTTAATTTTGATTTGTGAAGGTCCAAGAATAATCTGTTAAATTCAAAAGGCTTCCTTTGTTAAGATGTTTATAATTAAGTATGATAAGAAAATTGACAGGACTGCAAGATGACAGAATTTTAACTGAAATTCCAATACAGTAAAAAAGCATCATAGTGAAAAACAAGGCAAATCCCATCGACACCCTCCCTCCCCCCTTTCAGAGACTTCTCTTAATAAGTAAAAATATAAACATGGACTAGAATTGGACTAGAAGTGCAGAATCTGATACAGAATTAAGTTTCAAAATTTCAACATTTGTTTGTTATACCATTGCTTCAGCCATCCTAAATTCAATTTCAATTATTCAAGTTTTCTGGAATGCCAATGACTCAAGATTATATACTTCAAATAAATAAGCTGAAGATAAACATACGCTTTACAAAATAAAAATATTTATTTCAGAGATGAGTAAAACCAGACACCTCTGTATAACAAGCATCATGTAAGTGTTAAGTG